GGTTCAACCTCTATGTATATATTTTGTTGTTGTTGTTGTTGTTGTTGTTGTTGTTATTGTTGTTATTGTTGGTAGTGGTGGTTCAACCTCTCTACATATGTATGCTGTTGTTGTTGTTTTTGGAATTGTTGTTATTGTTGTTGTTGTAATTGTTGGTAGTAGTGGTTCAACCTCTCTGCATATATATGCTGTTGTTGTTGTTTTTGGAATTGTTGTTGTTGTTGGTAGTGGTGGCCCAACCTCTCTACATATATATGCTGTTGATGTTATTTTTGGAATTGTTGTTGTCGTTGGTAGTGGTGGTTCAACCTCCCTGTATACATATGCTGTTGTTGTTGTTTTTGGAATTGTTGTTGCTGTTGTTAGTGGTGGGTCAATCTCTCTCTATATATATGCTGTTGATGTTATTTTTGGAATTGTTGTTGTTGTTGGTAGTGGTGGTTCAACCTCTCTGTATATATATGCTGTTGTTGTTGCTTTTGGAATTGCTGTTGCTGTTGGTAGTGGTGGTTCAACCTCTCTGTATCTATATGCTGTTGTTGTTGTTGTTTTTGGAATTGTTGTTGTTGATAGTGGTGGTTCAATCTCTCTACATATATATGCTGATGATGTTGTTTTTGGTATTGTTGTACCTGTTGGTAGTGGTGGTTCAACCTCTCTGTATATATATGCTGTTGATGTTATTTTTGGAATTGTTGTTGTTGTTGTTGGTAGTAGTGGTTCACCCTCTCTGTATATATATGCTGTTGATGTTGTTGTTGTTTTGGATTTGTTGTTCTTGTAGTTGTTGTAATTCTTGGTAGTAGTGGTTCAACCTATCTACATATATATGCTGTTGATGTTATTTTTGGAAATGTTGTAATTGTTGGTAGTAGTGGTTCAACCTCTCTACATATATATGCTGTTGTTGTTGTTTCTGGAATTGTTGTTGTTGATAGTGGTGGTTCAACCTCTCTACATATATATGCTGTTGTTGTTGTTGTTGTTGTTGTTGGTAGTAGTGGTTCATCCTCTCTGTATATTTATATATGCTATTGATGTTGTTGTTGTTTTGGATTTGTTGTTTTTGTTGTTTTTGTTGTTGTTGGTAGTAGTGGTTCAACCTCTCTGTAAATATATATGCTGTTGATGTTATTTTTGGAATTGTTGTTGCTGGTAGTGGTGGTTCAACCCCTCTGTATATATATATGCTGTTGTTGTTGTTGTTGGTAGTGGTGGTTCAACCTTTCTACATATATATGCTGTTGATGTTATTTTTGGAGTTGTTGTTGTTGTTGGTAGTAGTGGTTCACCCTCTCTGTATATATATGCTGTTGATGTTGTTGTCGTTTTGGATTTGTTGTTATTGTTGTTGTTGTAATTGTTGTTAGTAGTGGTTCAACCTCTCTTCATGTATATGCTGCTGTTGCTGTTTTTGGAATTGTTCTTGTTGATAGTGGTGGTTCAACCTCTCTACATATATATGCTGTTGTTTTTGTTGTTGTTGTTGTTGTTGTTATTGTTGGTAGTAGTGGTTCAACCTCCCTGTAAATATATATGCTGCTGATGTTATTTTTGGAATTGTTGTAATTGTTGGTAGTAGTGGTTCAACCTCTCTACATATATGCTGTTGTTGTTGTTTTTGGAATTGTTGTTGTTGATAGTGGTGGTTCAACCTCTGAAAATATATGTGCTGTTGATTTGTTGTTGTTTTTGATTTGTTGTTTTTGTTGTTGTTGTAATTAATGGTAGTAGTGGTTCAACCTCTCTCTACATATATATGCTGTTGTTGTTGTTGTTTTTGGAATCATTGTTGTTAATAGTGGTGGTTCAACCTCTCTACATATATATGCTGTTGTTGTTGTTGTTGTTGGTGGTGGTGGTAGTAGTGGTTCATCCTCTCTGTATATTTATATATGCTATTGATGTTGTTGTTGTTTTGGATTTGTTGTTTTTGTTGTTGTTGTTGGTAGTAGTGGTTCAACCTCTCTGTAAATATATATGCTGTTGATGTTATTTTTGGAATTGTTGTTGCTGGTAGTGGTGGTTCAACCCCTCTGTATATATATATGCTGTTTTTTTTTTTTGGAATTGTTGTTGTTGTTGGAAGTGGTGGTTCAACCTTTCTACATATACATGCTGTTGATGTTGTTGTCGTTTTGGATTTGTTGCTATTGTTGTTGTTGTAATTGTTGTTAGTAGTGGTTCAACCTCTCTTCATATATATGCTGTTGTTGTTGTTTTTGGAATTGTTCTTGTTGATAGTGGTGGTTCAACCTCTCTACATATATATGCTGTTGTTGTTGTTGTTGTTGTTGTTGTTATTGTTGGTAGTAGTGGTCAACCTCCCTGTAAATATATATGCTGCTGGTGTTATTTTTGGAATTGTTGTAATTGTTGGTAGTAGTGGTTCAACCTCTCTACATATATGCTGTTGTTGTTGTTTTTGGAATTGTTGTTGTTGATAGTTGTGGTTCAACCTCTCTACATACATGCTGTTGTTGTTGTTTTTGGAATTGTTGTTGTTAATAGTGGTGGTTCAACCTCTGTAACTATATGTGCTGTTGATTTTTTGTTGTTTATGATTTGTTGTTATTGTTGTTGTTGTAATTGTTGGTAGTAGTAGTTCAACCTCTCTCTACATATTTATGCTGTTGTTGTTGTTGTTTTTGGAATTGTTGTTGTTGATAGTGGTGATTCAACCTCTCTGCATATATATATGCTGTTGATGTTGTTGTTGTTTTGGATTTGTTGTTTTTGTTGTTTTTGTTGTTGTTGTTGGTAGTAGTGGTTCAACCTCTTTTGATATATATATATATGCTGTTGTTGTTGTTGTTTTTGGAATTATTGTTGTTGATAGTGGAGATTCAACCTCTCTGCATATATATATGCTGTTGATGTTGTTGTTGTTTTGGATTTGTTGTTTTTGTTGTTGTTGTTGGTAGTAGTGGTTCAACCTCTATGTATATATATATATGCTGTTGATGTTGTTGTTGTTTTGGATTTGTTGTTATTGTTGTTGTTTTAATTGTTGATAGTAGTGGTTTTACCTCTCTGTAAATATATATGCTGTTGTTGTTGTTTTTGGAATTGTTGTTGTTGTTGTTGTTAGTGGTGGTTCAACCTCTCTCTACATATATGCTGTTGTTGTTGTTGTTGTTTTTGTTGTTATTGTTGGTATAACCTCTCTGTATATATATGCTGTTGATGTTGTTGTTGTTTTGGATTTGTTGTTATTGTTGCTGTTGTAATTGTTGATAGTAGTGGTTTAACCTCTCTGTAAATATATATGCTGTTGTTGTTGTTTTTTGAATTGTTGTTGTTGTTGTGTGTAGTGGTGGTTCAACCTCTCTGTATATATATGCTGTTGTTGTTATTGTTGTTTTGGAATTGTTGGTGCTGTTGGTAGTGGTGGTTCAACCTCTCTACATATATATGCTGTTGTTGTTGTTTTTGGAATTGTTGTAACTGTTGGTAGTGGTGGTTCAACCTCTATGTATATATATGCTGTTGGTGTTGTTTTTGAAATTGTTGTTGTTGTTGGTAGTGATGGTTCAACCTCTATGTATATATATATTCTGTTGTTGTTGTTTTTGTTGTTATTGTTGGTATAACCTCTCAATATATATATGCTGTTGATGTTATTTTTGGAATTGTTGTTGTTGTTGGTAGTAGTGGTTCACCCTCTCTGTATATATATGCTGTTGATGTTGTTGTTGTTTTGGATTTGTTGTTCTTGATGTTGTTGTAATTGTTGGTAGTGGTGGTTCAACCTCTCTACATATATATGCTGTTTTTGTTGTTTTTGGAATTGTTGTTGTTGATAGTGGTGGTTCAACCTCTCTACATATATATGCTGTTGTTGTTGTTTTTGGAATTAGTGTTGTTGTTGTTGGTGGTGGTTCAACCTCTCTACATATATATGCTGTTGTTTTTGTTGTTTTTGGAATTGTTGTTGTTGATAGTGGTGGTTCAACATCTCTACATATGTATGCTGTTGTTTTTTTTTTTTTGAATTGTTGTTGTTGTTGGTAGTGGTGGTTCAACCTTTCTACATATATATGCTGTTGATGTTATTTTTGGAATTGTTGTTGTTGGTAGTGGTGGTTCAACCTCCCTGTATACATATATATATGCTGTTGATGTTGTTTTGGATTGGTTGCTTTTCTTGTTTTTGTTGTTGTTGTTGGTAGTGGTGGTTCAATCTCGCTGTAAATATATGCTGTTGATGTTATTTTTGGAATTGTTGTTGCTGGTAGTGGTGGTTCAACCACTCTGTATATATATATGCTGTTGATGTTGTTTTGGATTGGTTGCTTTTCTTGTTTTTGTTGTTGTTGTTGGTAGTGGTGGTTCAATCTCGCTGTACCTATATGCTGTTGTTGTTATTTTTGGAATTGTTGTTGCTGGTAGTAGTGGTTCAACCTCTCTGTAGATATATATGCTGTTGTTGTTGTTTTTGGAATTGTTGTTGTTGTTGTTGGTAGTGGTGGTTCAACCTCTCTGTATATATATGCTGTTGTTGTTGTGTTGTTTTTGGAATTGTTGTTGTTGATAGTGGTGGTTCAATCTCTCTCCATATATATGCAGTTGTTGTTGTTTTTGGAATTGTTGTTGTTGTTGGTAGTGGTGGTAGAATTTATCTGTATAAATATGTTAGCCAGTTAAGGATGCTCCCATCTATGCATGTTTGATAACCATCACATAAATCCAGGGGAAAAGGCACTCCGATTGTACAAAAATATCCCCATTACAAAAGAACATTTCCGGTCAAAATTCGGCGGTTCAGGAGTAGTTTGAAAACAAAAACGTTGATAAGCTTACCTTATTTGGGCCAGTTGAATTACACCATGACAATGACAGATAAATGTTAGCTAATCTCAAGTGTTAAGTTGCTATTACAACTAGTTCGGAGATACAATTTAATGTGCTTGATGGTTTGTAGAAAACAATTGCGATAAGTTGCCTTGCCCCATGGCGCTTGTAGTTTATTTAAAACATTTACGTTTAAATTAACTTACGGTCGACATCTTTTTTAGGTGTATTATTTTCCTCATTCCCGCCTTTTCTATTAGTCAGTTCAATCCGCTGGACCACCGACGTGTTCCCGAGGTCAATCCACAACCAAGCCAAAGAGGTAGTAATTCTGTCAGTCAGCAGACAACTGTTGCCATCTAGAAATGGATCCGTGTTCCCATCAACTACCTTAGAGGCTGGCCCATAGGTATTCCCTTTTTCGGAGAATACACTGCTGGAGTTTGCTGGACGATCAAGAGCAATGTTGACTGAAATTATCACAAAACAGTTATACATCACTACATCAGATACGTTACAAACATTTGTGCATTATTCCTTTCTTTGTGAATTTCCCGATAAGAACAAGAACTTGTCTCGATGAAATGATACAAACAGGAAATATATGTAAGGTAAATTAACAAGCAATGAGAGTGGTTCATGACATGAAAATGTCTCCAACTAGTGATGGTCGATTTTCGTGTCGTTTATCTAACTCTTAAAAATTAGCTAACTGGAGTTGGATATACATGATAACCAAACATCACTTTTGAGGAACATCCATATATAGTTTCTATAATACTTAATATATCTGTTAGTCTGCTTGAATATTGTATTTGCTATTTGTCTTTATTTAAAACCTTATTTGTGAGCCTGTGTATGAACCAATGTGCCGATAATATTATGCATTAAACGTACAAGACTAACTGGGAATGTTTATTTACATATTAACTTTAGACGTGACACCATATTTTCAGTAAGGTGCATGCATCGTCTATTCCAAGATATGAACCTAATGTCACTAGTCACATAATAATCAACATCTACATGTGCGGCACTAAGCGTTGAGCTCATTCCGATATGTACCATATTATGTTTTGAAAACTTGTACGCTTTCGACTCGATTTGTTTCGCATTCAGTTTCGGATTCTAAACCTTAAAGCAAGTATGCTATCCATAATACTCTAATACAACATCTATAAGGGAATATGTCTCATCGTTTCCATCTGTTGTCAGGAAACACCAGAAATGTGAGGAATTACCTATCAACTACGTGTTACTAGTATACAGCGATGTCTCAAGTATGACAGTGAGCTGAAGAGATATTGGCTTTAGAATAACTGATTTAATAACTGTACTTAGATAGTGCTAATTAGCTCAGTTCTCATCATGCGACTTTATTACTAAATCAAATCAGAATAGTTTAAACAATGCATAATATTTGTTATAGTATGTACCTATAGAAATATCATTGTGTTTTCCTGTGTATACAGCGCCATGTTTCTGGTTTGAAATGTTCCTATTGGAATACTATTGTGTTTGTCTGTGTATACAGGGCCCTGTTTCTGGTTTGTAATGTTCCTATTGGAATACTATTGTGTTTCCCTGTGTTTACAGGGACATGTTTCTAGTATGTAGTTTCCCTATAGGAATACCATTGTGTTTCCCTGTGTATACAGGGTCATGTTTCTGGTGTGAAGTTTCCCTATAGGAATACCATTGTGTTTCCCTGTGTATACAGGGACATGTTTCTGGTTTGTAGTATTCATATAATAAAACCATTGTGTTTCCCTGTGTAAATAGTGCCATGTTTCTGGTTTGTAATGTCCCTATAGGAATACCACTATGTTTTCCTGTGTATACAGGGCGATGTTTCTGGTTTGTAGTTTTCTAATTGGAATGCCATTGTGTTTCCTTTTGTAAACAGGGACATGTTTCTAGTTTGTAGTTTTGCTTTAGGAATACCATTGTGTTTTCCTGTGTATACAGGGTCATGTTTCTGGTGTGAAGTTTTCATATAGGAATACCATTGTGTTTCTCTGTGTATACAGGGCGATGTTTCTGGTTTGTAATGTTCCTATAGGAATACCATTGTGTTTCCCTGTGTGTACAAGCTTTGTTTATAGTTTGTAGCTTTCATATAGGAATACCAATGTGTTTTCTTCTGTATACAGGGCGATGTTTCTGGTTTGTAATGTCCATATAGGAATACCATTGTGTTTCCCTGCGTAAACAGGACATGTTTCTGGTGTGAAGTTTTCCTATAGGAATTCCCTGTGTATACAGGGACATGTTTCTAGTTTGTAATGTTCCTATATGAATACCATTGTTTTTTCCCTGTGTATACAGGGCCATGTTTCTGGTTTGTTATGTTCCTATATGAATACCATGGTGTTTCCCTGTAAATACAGGGCCATGCTTCTGGTTTGTAATGTCCCTATATGAATACTATTGTATTTCTCTTTGTATACAAGACCATGTTTCTGGTTTGTAATGGTCCTATAGGAATAACATTGTGTTTTCATGTGCATTTAGGGCCATGTTTCTGGTGAAAAGTTCTCCTATAGTAATACCTATAGTGTTACCTCCTTTGTATATTTGGCCGTGTTTCTTGTTTAAAGTTCTCCTATAGAGATATAATTTTTATTTTCTTGTTTATATTGTGCCATATTTCTGGTGTTGAGTTTTTCGATTGTAATACCATTCTTATTTCCTTGTGTAAATTGTGCTGCGCTCTGGTGTATAGTTTTCCTATACGATCGTTAGACCAGTATTATTTGTATTATTTATCCCTGTCTAAATACAGAACGTGCATCAAGTAGGCAGATCCTATTTCATCTACAATCCGGATGTTGACAATACTCGACTAGGCATTGTATTAACCCAATCGTCAAGTTTCAACACGACGTATTTTACACAACTTCGTTATTTCCATTTGTGTGTGTGTATCAAACAAAACAGACGCTTAATGCTTACATTTAATCGTTTCGTGTTAAATTTGAAAAAAAAGTCAAAATATTTCATTTAGTGAGACTTTGTAGAGCTAAAACCAGTGAGGCGAGTTTCATATAGGAAAAGAAATCCAAAATCGTTTTATCACAAAAACTTATAAAAATTAATAGTTTCGTACCAATAGTTACATATTAATATAACATTGATATACTAAAACTTGTTTTCTGTTTTCATGATATGGTAAATTATATTAACTTATTGACTACAAGACCTGTTTACCCTTTGCTTATATAGTCCAGTATGTTAACTTATTGACCACAACACCTTTTTACCTGTGTTTATATAGAACAGTATATTAACTTATTGACTACAACACCTATTTACCTGTGTTTATACAGTACAGTATATTAACTTATTGACTACAACACCTATTCACCTGTGTTTATATAGTACAGTATATTAACTTATTGACTAGAAAACCTATTTACCTGTGTTTATATAGTCCATTATGTTAACTTATTGACCACAACACCTTTTTACCTGTGTTTATATAGTCCATTAGGTTAACGTATTGACCACAACACCTATTTACCTGTGTTGATATAGTACCGTATATTAACTTATTGACTACAACACCTATTTACCTGTGTATATATAGTACAGTATATTAACTTATTGACTAGAACACCTATTTACCTGTGTTTATATAACACAATATATTAACTTATTGACTACAACACCTATTCACCTGTGTTTATATAGTACAGTATATTAACGTATTGACTACAAAACCTGTTTGCCTGTGTTTATATAGTCCATTATGTTAACCTATTGACTACAACACCTATTTACCTGTTTTTATATAGTACAGTATAATAACTTATTGACCACAACACCTATTTACCTGTGTTTATATGATACAGTATATTAACTTATTGACTACAACTCCTATTTACCTGTGTTTATATAGTACAGTATATTAACGTATTGACTACAAAACCTGTTTGCCTGTGTTTATATAGTCCATTATGTTATCTTATTGACACAACAACTATTTACCTGTGTTTATATAGTACAGTATATTATCTTATTGACTACAACACCTATTTACCTGTTTTTATATAGTACAGTATAATAACTTATTGACTACAACACCTATTTACCTGCGTTTATATAGTACAGTATATTAACTTATTAACTACAACACCTATTTACCTGTGTTTATATAGTACAGTATAATAACTTATTGACCACAACACCTATTTACCTGTGTTTATATAATAGATTATATTAACTTATTGACTACAACACCTGTTTACCTGTGTTTATATAGTCCATTATGTTATCTTATTGACCACAACACCTATTTACCTGTGTTTATATAGAACAGTATATTAACTTATTGACTAGAAAACCTGTTTACCTGTGTTTATATAGTACAGTATATTATAGTCCATTATGTTATCTTATTGACACAACAACTATTTACCTGTGTTTATATAGTCCATTATGTTAACTTATTGACTACAACACCTATTTACATGTTTTTATATAGTACAGTATAATAACTTATTGACTTCAACACCTATTTACCTGTGTTTATATAATACAGTATATTAACTTATTGACTACAACACCTATTTACCTGTGTTTATATGATACAGTATATTAACTTATTGACTACAACACCTATTAACCTGTGTTTATATAGTACAGTATATTAACTTATTGACTACAACACCTATTTACCTGTGTTTATATAGTCCATTATGTTAACTTATTGACCATAACACCTGTTTACCTGTGTTTATATAGTCCATTATGTTAACTTATTGACTACAACACCTATTACCTGTGTTTATATAGTCCATTATGTTAACTTATTTACCATAACACCTGTTTACCTGTGTTTATATAGTCCATTATGTTAACTTAATGACCACAAAACCTTTTTACCTGTGTTTATATAGTCCATTAGGTTAACTTATTGACTACAACACCTATCTACCTGTGTTGATATAGTACCTTATATTAACTTATTGACTACAACACCTATTTACCTGTGTTTATCTAGTACAGTATATTAACTTATTGACTAGAAAACCTGTTTACCTGTGTTTATATAGTCCATTATGTTAACTTATTGACTACAACACATATTTACCTGTGTTTATATAGTACAGTATAATAACATATTGACTTGAACACCTATTTACCTGTGTTTATATAATACATTTTATTAACTTATTGACTACAACACCTATTTACCTGTGTTTTTATAATACAGTATATTAACTTATTGACTACAACACCTATTTGCCTGTGTTTATATAGTACAGTATATTAACTTATTGACTACAACACCTATTTACCTGTGTTTATATAGTACAGTATATTAACTTATTGACAGGAAAACCTATTTACCTGTGTTTATATAGTCCATTATGTTAACTTATTGACTACAACACCTATTTACCTGTGTTTATATCGTACAGTATAATAACTTATTGACTACAACACCTATTTACCTGTGTTTATATAACACAGTATATTAACTTATTGACTACAACACCTATTTACCTGTGTTTATAAAGTACAGTATATTAACTTGTTGACTACAACACCTGTTTACCTGTGTTTATATAGTACAGTATATTAACTTATTGACTACAACACCTATTTATCTGTGTTTATATAGTCCAGTATATTAACTTTATGACAAGCACTTATTAACCTGTGAATTTAGTGATTTATTGAACTTGCTACGGCAGTATAGACCAATTTCGAAATTAAACACTATAATTGGGTCTCCTTCATTCATCAAGAGCTGTTGTAGAACATCATAGCTCGCCTATTGGTGTATATGTTGAAAGATAGCAAATATCAATAAAAAAAATGTACAGTAAAACCTCAATTTATCGCCTAACCCCTTTATAATGCCAACATTTCTTTCAAAAAATGATGGCAATATAACAAGGTTTCCCTTACATGTAAGAAGAGATGACCAGCCAACGTGAAATAGTCAACAGCGTATTGATGGTGGTGACCGATTCAACACTGCACAAACAAAACAAAACCTTAACCAAGTCCAACTAACAAGTTTTGGCCCCTAAAATAATGAAAATATAATTCAGAACATTGCTTACTCCATATAAATACTCCAACGTTATGATAGACAACAGCCTATTGATGGTGGTGGTCCAACACTACACAAAAAGAAACTTTGCCCAAAAAAATTAACCAAGTCCAATTAAGCTGTTTTTGGCCCCTAAAATATGAAATATGGTTCAGCACATTGCTTACGCTCAATATAAATACTTCACCCTTAAAATAGACAACAGCCTATTGGTGTTGGTGATCCAACGCTACACAAAAAATAACTTGAACTAAGTCCAATTAAAGCTTTTTTTACCCCTAAAATAAGAAAATATGGTCCAAATCCTTGCTTACTCTCCTTATAAATACTTCAACCTTATAATAGACAATAGCCTATTGATGGTGATGATCCAGCACTACAAAAATAAAAGATTTAACATCAAGCCTCAAAACATTTAACCAAGTCCAATTCAGCTGTTTTTGGCCCCTAAAATATGAAAATATAGTCCAGCACATTGCTTACACTCGACATCAATGTCTTAACCTCATAACAGACAACAGTGTATTGAGTGTGATGATCCAACACTGTCTGGAAAAACACTTGCCCAAAAAACTTTAACCTCAGAAGGTGGACGCCGACAGCGCCGCCGACAGCGCCGCCGACGCCGACGCCGGGGTGACTACGTTAGCCCCCCTATTCTCCAAATGGGCGAGCTAAAATGTTACGAGTATGTAGTTCAATTGTTAAACAATGTTTCATTATTTATCTTTACAGCACAATTAGTTGTTTTCTTCACAATATCGATGCCATTAGGGGATGTCCAATTGCTCTCAACATTAACTTGTAAAGCTTTCTTTCATGCGGTTCAGACATTCAAGTTTTCAAAAACGTGTTGTTTCTTTTTACTCTCACAACATTATTTATTAAGCTTGCATCGTCTCGTAGTATCTCACCATCAATGCAATACGGAGTCAGTTTGTAATATGCAACTTGTCTAAATGATAATTAAGTCTAAGAGCAGCCACCCTACCTTGTCCATGAACAAGTCCATTGTTGAGTAGTGTACCTAGAATGATCAATTCCAGTATACGAGATATAACCGGCACTACACACATCTTATGCAGTCGGACAGCTATATGGTGGTCACGAGGAAGTCAGCTTTAATGTCGGGAACAAGGAAGATCATCCATAGGAGTGGCACGCACGCACGCCGGAAACAGGCGGCTGTGGTCTAAATATTAGTATCATCCGCACAATATAACCTATGTACTATTACGTATTGTATATAACGGTTCAAAGTTCACCAGCAGCATCCGCATTGAGATATGTAGGGCAGTGGGACATATTGAATGGCCATTATTTACAAATGTGATTGAAGAGAAATTTCTCTGAAGTCTAAAAAAACAAGTAACAAATTGATAAAGTTCTACCAAACGTGAAGGTCATAGAACTACGAAAGAGTCTGCTGTACCCTCTTAAATAAAATACGCATCGATAGATAATATCCCATCTAAGAAACGAAGCACCAGTGACTAGCCAAACAGGTATCATTTACGCCAGTAAGCGGCCCCAAATAATTTCACTCACGTAAGATATTCTTTGAAAAGATTAAACATCGTTAGCTCCCCTCTAACGGCTAACATACGCCAGTAACTCCCCTTTAAACTAACGCACGTCAACAAATCCCTTTTAAGCTAACAAACATCAGTTACTTCTTTAAGATATCACATTTCAATCACTCTTGCAGGTATCATACAAAATAGTAACTCCTACAGATACCAAACACATGTAACTTATTTCTCCATAAATCACACATGGGTCATTCCTACTAATGTCAAATGTCAGTTACTCCTACATATATCACACGTAAGTCACTACTACATATATCACACGTCATTTACTCCTACAGATATCACACGTCAGTTACTCCTACAGATATCACACGTCAGTTACTCCTACAGATATCACACGTCAGTCACTCCTACAGATATCACACGTAAGTCACTACTACAATTATCACACGTCAGTTACTCCTACATATATCACACGTCAGTTACTCCTACACATATCCCACGTAAGTTACTCCTACATATATCACACGTCAGTTACTCCTACACATATCCCACGTAAGTTACTCCTACATATATCACACGTCAGTTGCTCCTACAGATATCACCCGTCAGTTACTCCTACATATATCACACGTCAGTTACTCCTACACATATCCCACGTAAGTTACTCCTACATATATCACACGTCAGTTGCTCCTACAGATATCACACGTCAGTCACTCCTACATATCACACGTCAGTTACTCCTACAGATATCCCACGTCAGTTACTCCTACATATATCACACGTCAGTTGCTCCTACAGATATCACCCGTCAGTTACTCCTACAGATATCACACGTAAGTCACTACTACAATTATCACACGTCAGTTACTCCTACATATATCGCACGTCAGTTACTCCTACAGATATCACACGACAGTCACTCCTACAGATATCACATGTCAGTTACTCCTACAGATTTCAAGTCAGTTACTTCTGTAGACATCACAGGTCAGTCACGCCTTCAAATATCACATGTCAGCCACTCATTCAGTAACTCCTACATATATTACACGTCAGTTACTCTTATAGATGTCTCACTACAGTAACTCCTTGATATCAAACGTCAGTCACTTCTTCAGATATCACACCTCAGTTACTTCTGCAGATATCACTTACGATGATCACTCCTAGATATCATACGTCAGTAATTCCTACAGATATTACATGCCAGTCACTCTTACAGATATCACACGCCAGTCACTCTTACAGATATTACACGCCAGTCACTCTTACATATATCACACGTCAGTAACACCTACATATATCCAATGTTAGCCACTCTTACAGATATCACATGTCAGTGACTCCTACAGATATCACATGTCAGTCGCTCCTAAATATATCACACGTCAGTCACTCCTACAAATATCACATGTCAGTGACTCCTACAGATATCACACGTCAGTTACTCCTACAGATATCACACGTCAGATACTCCTACAGATATCACACGTCAGTCACTCATAAACGTCAGATACTCCTACAGATATCACACGTCACTAACTCCTACAGATATCACATGTCAGTGCCTCCTACAGATATCACACGTCAGTGACTCCTACAGATATCACATGTCAGTGACTCCTACAGATATCACATGTCAGTCACTCCTAAATATATCACACGTCAGTCACTCCTACAAATATCACATGTCAGTGACTCCTACAGATATCACACGTCAGGCACTCCTACAGATATCACACGTCAGTTACTCCTACATATATCACACGTCATTTACTCCTACAGATATCACACGTCAGTCACTCCTACAGATATCACATGTCAGGGACTCCTACAGATATCACACGTCAGTCAATCCTACAGATATCATGTCAGTCACTCCTACACATATCACACGTAAGTTACTCCTAGATATCACATGTCAGTCACTTCTACATTAATCACGTTCCAGTTACTATTACAGATATCACACATCAGTCACTCCTACTGATATCACATGTCAGTCAACCCTATAGATATCACACGTCAGTTTCTCCTACAGATATCACACGTCAGTCACTCCTACACATATCACACGTCAGTTACTCCCAGATATCACACGTCAGTCAATCCTACATTAATCACGTTCCAGTTACTATTACAGATATCACACGTCAGTCACACCTACAGATATCACACGACAGTCACTCCTGCAGATATCACACGTTAGTCACTCCAATAGATATCACATGGCAGCCACTCTTACAGATATCACATGTCAGGGACACCTACAGATATCACACGTAATTCATTCCTACAGATATCACACGTCAGTTACTCATACAGATATCAAACTTTTGTTACTCCTACAGATATCACACGTCAGTTACTCCTTCAGATATTTTATTTCAGTCACTCCTACAGATATCACATGTCAGTTACTCCTACAGATTTCAAGTCAGTTACTTCTGTAGACATCACAGGTCAGTCACTCCTTCAAATATCACATGTTAGCCACTCATTCAGTCACTCCTACATATATTACGTCAGTTACTCTTATAGATGTCTCACTCCAGTAACTCCTTGATATCAAACGTCAGTCACTTCTTCAGATATCACACCTCAGTTACTTCTGCAGATATCACTTACGATGGTCACTCCTAGATATCACACGTCAGTAATTCCTACAGATATTACATGCCAGTCACTCTTCCAGATATCACACGCCAGTCACTCTTACACTACAGTAACTCCTTGATATCAAACGTCAGTCACTTCTTCAGATATCACACCTCAGTTACTTCTGCAGATATCACTTCCGATGGTCACTCCTAGATATCACACGTCAGTAATTCCTACAGTTATTACATGCCAGTCACTCTTACAGATATCACACGCCAGTCACTCTTCCAGATATCAAACGCCAGTCACTCTTACAGATATTACACGTCAGTCACTCTTACAGATATCACACGCCAGTCACTCTTACACTACAGTAACTCCTTGATATCAAACGTCAGTCACTTCTTCAGATATCACCCCTCAGTTACTTCTGCAGATATCACTTATGATGGTCACTCCTAGATATCACACGTCAGTAATTCCTACAGTTATTACATGCCAGTCACTCTTACAGATATCACATATATCACACGTCAGTTACTCCTACAGATATCACACGTCAGATACTCCTACAGATATCACACGTCAGTCACTCATATAGATATCAAACGTCAGTTATTCTTATAGATATCATAAGTCAGTGACTCATACAGGTATCACACTCAGTTACACCTACAGTAATACCACGTCAGTTACTCCTACAGATATCACAAGTCAGCCACTCCTTCAGATATCACATGTCAGCCTATCCTAAATATATATCACACGTCAGTCACTCCTGCAGATATCACATGTCAGTAATTTCTAAAGATATCACACTTCTGTTACTCCTACATATATCACACGGTTACTCCTACAGATATCACACTTCAGTTACTTCTACAGATATCACAAGTAAGTCACTCCTTCAGATATCAAATGTCAGTAACTCCTACAGATATCACAAGTCAGTCACTCCAACAGATATCATGTCAGTCACTCCTAGATATAATTTGTCAGTGCCTCCTACAGATATCACATGTCAGTGACTCCTACAGATATCACACGTCACTAACTCCTACAGATATCACATGTCAGTGCCTCCTACAGATATCACATGTCAGTGACTCCTACAGATATCACATGTCAGTTACTTCTACATATATCACACGTCAGTCACTCCTACAAATATCACATGTCAGTGACTCCTACAGATATCACACGTCAGTCACTCCTAAAGATATCACACGTCAGTTACTCCTACATATATCACACGTCATTTACTCCTACAGATATCACACGTCAGTCACTCTACAGATATCACATGTCAGGGACTCCTACAGATATCACACGTCAGTCAATCCTACAGATATCATGTCAGTCACTCCTACACATATCACACGTAAGTTACTCCTAGATATCATATGTCAGTCACTTCTACATTAATCACGTTCCAGTTACTATTACAGATATCACACGTCAGTCACTCCTAGCGATATCACACGTCAGTCAACCCTATAGATATCACACGTCAGTTTTTCCTACATATATCACACGTCAGTTACTCCTACAGATATCACACGTCAGTCACTACTACCAAATATCATACGTTAGCCGCTCCTACAGATATCACACGTCAGTCACAACTACAGATATCACACGTCAGTGACTCCAACAGATATCACATGTCAGTGACTCCTAGAGATATCACGTCAGTTACTCGTAGATATCACATGTCAGTCACTTCTACATTTATCACGTGCCAGTTTCTATTACAGATATCACACGTCAGTGACTCCTACAGATATCACACGTCAGTCACTCCTACAGATATCACATGTCAGTGACTCCTACAGATATCACATGTCAGTCACTCCTACACATATCACACGTCAGTTACTCCTAAATATCACATGTCTGTCACTTCTACAAATATCAAGTGCCAATTTCTATTACAGATATCACACGTCAGTCACTCCAACATATATGTCAGTCACTCCTAGATTTAACTGGTCGGTCACTCCTACAGATATCACACATCATTCACTCCTACAGATATCACACGTCAGTCACTCTTACATATATCAAATGTCAGTCACTCCTACAGATATCACACGTCAGTCACTCCTACAGATATCACTTGTCAGCCATTCCTACAGATATCACATTTCAGTCACTTCTTCAGATATTACATGTCAGTTACTTCTACAGATATTACGCGTCCGAATTTTTTTTGCTATATAACGTTCTGTAATATTAACATTGATGCATATTTGTCAAATTTCAATCTATGTTTTTTTGATATTATTAAAATGTGTCAATTTCTTATGCAACCTGATTAACAAATATCCAATTGACTACGATTATGTAACTTACTTTTCAAGAATGAGTTTTCACCTGAATTCATGCTTTACTGTCTTGAGTTTGGAGTCTACCATTCAAGCTCCTCATATCTTTGAAATTTTGACAACCTGTTCTATTAATCAACTAGCCAAACTTAATGCGCCATATAGAATGGCAATCCAATCTACCACTTATTCTATGTGAATCTGTCTGTTGGCTTTTTTGAAAGCAATATTCAAGTCTTTTGTTTTATAATTTTTTAAAGGAATAGAATCTGCTATGGTATTGATATTTCAGAAAATAACTTTAGTATTATTTCTGATAATAAAATATGTACCCAATTCCCAATGCACAATACTGATAGTTGGAAGTCATTAGTCAAAATCTATGGTTTATCAAAATAGACAAAAACAGCAAAATTTACTTCTTTTTTGTGTGTGTGTTAAATCGTACAAACATTTAATCACTATTTTGGACCACACTCATTAAAAACAAATTAAATAGTACACTTGGGGATATTTTATGTGCAATCAATGCAACCGCTTATTTCCTCACACAAATCAACACTGCAGCTATTAAGTCAATGGCCCTCCAAAAGAAAGAAAATAAAATCCAGGAGAGGCATACTGATTGTTCTGTTCATTCTTTGTGCTTATTGAATTGAAAAAATATGAGGGGATGGGGGTGGGGGGATGATTTAGTCAAAATATTCTGTTACTCTTGACATTTGCATGGTGGAAGTATGGTTAGACCACCAGAGTCGTTTGTACTAATGATCCAAAAAAGTACCGGTTGGGGCCATTTGCAGGGGTCTTCTTTAAATGGACTCACCAAACATTTGTATATTAAATATTTTGAATAGAAAAGAGCCTCTGTGATTAGACAGTGTTTTCTGACAGTATGTTCATTCTCAATGAAACAACCATGCTCTTACTTTCCAGACACAGGCCCTCAGACTTTTAGTGAGGGATCCTTCATTGCGAGTGAGTTTGCAGCACCACTTGTAGTCTTCATGGTGCATAAAAGTAATAGCATTTAAGAAAAAAAAGGGGATTGTAGCCATAAAAATAAATGCCAACTTTCTAATATTTTGTAGTTTCAACTTCTAACTGTAAAGTGTTCGTCTTCATGTTCAATTATAATGAATCATAAAAATAAAGAAATTACAATTAAAAAAGAATGACACAATTAGCATTGAAATTTACAAAACAGAATATATGCAAATAAAAATTAGAAAATAAAACAAAGGGCCTGTATCGCTCACCTGAATATGTTTAAAATAATTGGTATGAAGTAAAGATATAGCACTCCATGGTAGGTGCTGTAAGTAAATATGAAATTTCAGAAAGATCCATCCAAACAGAGCCCCACCCCGATGCCCCTAGCGGGGTCATACCCACTGTTTATACAAAATTCAGTCCCCTTGGCCAAAGGATGCTCAGGACTAAATAAGGAAAAAATCCCTTAATCACGATGGTCGAAGAAGGATTAGGATTTTAAAGGTTTTACCTCTATTTCTCCTATTGGACCCCGCCCTTCTGCCCCCTGGGAGACCACACCCACTGCTTATACAAAATTGAGTCCCCTTGGCCAAAGGATGCTCCAGACTAAATTAGGATAAAATCCCTTAATCCCTATGGCAGAAGAAGGATTTTAAAGGTTTTACCTCTATTTCCCCTATAGGGCCCAGCCNTCATTCCTACAGAAGAAGAAGGATTTTAAAGAATAATGTGCTATGTTTCCCCTATTGAATTGGGTCCCGCCCCTTAGGCCCCTGGGGGGTCAGACCCATGGTTTATACAAAATTGGTACCCCTTCACCCAAGGATGCTTCACACCAAATATGGAATAAATCCTGTCATTTCTACAGAAGAAGAAGGATTTTTAAGAATTTGCTATATTTCCCATATTGGGCCCCGCCCCTCAGCCCCCAAGGGGGTCAGACCCACCATTTATACAAAATTGGTTTCTCTTAACCCAAGGATGCCCAATACCAAATATAAACCAAATCCTGACATTCCTACAGAAGTAGAAGGATTTTAAAGAATAATTTGCTATGTTCCCTTATTGGGCCCCGGCCCTCAGGCCCTTGGGGGGCCAAACCCACCATTTATACAAAAGTGAGTCCCCTTGGCCCAAGGATGCTCCAGACTAAATTAGGATAAAATCCCTTAATCCCTACGGTAGAAGAAGGATTTTGAAGGTTTTACCTCTACTTCCCCTATTGGGCCCTGCCCCTCTGCCCCCAGCGGTGACACACCCACCATTTATACAAAATTGAGTCCCCTTGGCCCAAGGATGCTCCAGACCAAATTTAGTCAAAATCTACTTGGCCGTTCAGGACTGTTAGCCTTTTAAAGGAAAAGTTGACGGACGGACGGACGCCGCGGTATGGCATAAGCTCACCATGGACCAGGTGAGCTAAAAATTGAAAAGAAAAAAATAGAAGTTTACACTTGACCTTTGTCTTAGATGTTAGCATTTATAATTATAAAAGCAATCCCTCTTAATAATAATGGAGAGCTAATAATGACTTCCCTGATGTTTCCGAGGTATTATGGTACATTAACAAAAACAAGTCAATATGTGCTTTCAATATATTTATCAAAACCGTTTCCTTTCTCACTTCATCACCTTCATACACCTTATCATGCAAATTACAACAGAATTATCACTGGTAGTCAATTTTACAACAATACAGAGTATCTAATTAAAGATGCTAACTTTTGAACTTTTTATCTCTTTATAAACGTGTAACATTTGCCAAAATCTGATTAATCAAATGCCATACTCGTCCCCTGACTAAACAGTTAGCAACATTACACTTCTATAAACGCAAAATTACCACTGTAAACACAAAAGTTAACATGTTGGACTGTCCAGCGTCCGTACAAAAAGAATAGTCATTATGCTACATAACAAATGGTTTACCATACTTAGTACAAATGATATCGACACAAAACGGCAACTGGCTCTATCAGAGCATGCAAACAAAATAATGAGCCTCTTATATTTAAAAATCATGGGTGAAATTATGAGTATGGTGCACAAGTAAGTTAATTGAAAATGCAATAAAGAGAATGTTGAATCAATGAATATTAACTTTATCACATAGCTACACATAAAAAATATAAAATTCAATGTAGTAAAGATAATAGTAAATCAATGAAAAACAACTTGCGATATAGCTACACAAATATGTTAAGAGAGAGAAAACAAGAGGCCCACAGGCTTTAGCAGTCACCTGAGTTGTAATATAATTTTCTGTTGTCATGATATGACCAGGAAATAATCATGTACACAAGGCAATACTTGTGTATATACTGTATGTAATGTAAATATGACAACTATGGATCGGAGACAAAAAAAATGAGACTGACTAACTAAATATCATATACACTGGTGGTCAGAAACATACATTGCCGATTCAAGTCTTCTCCATTATCCATTACACCAATTATAAAAGTTAATCATTATTATCTCATTACAACATTTTAATACAGCTGTAGTTTCATTTCCTTTAGGGAAGTTGTTAACCATTGTCAAACTCATTTCCCCTCATCCCATGACAGTTTAAAATTGCCACAGGGGGATGTATATTTACTTTTTATTTATCACATAAGTTATGAAACAAGGTTTTCCAACTTAAATAAATGTATCATTCTTTTTGGCCTAGATAGAAGCATTCAAAGGGTTATAATGAAGAAAGAAACTGAAGTCCCCAGAGAAAAAGTCCACAGTGTTGGGTAGGTGACCCCATAACTTTTCACATCCAATCATAGAATCAAACCTTGGCTGTCTTGTTGAAGGCGAGTGCACTATCACAAAGAAATTGGTGACTATGGTACTGAAATTCATAATTTTGATAAAGCACCTTATAACTGTTCCCTCCACAAAGTATTTGATTCTAACACATCTTGGTCTGAAGATTTAATTTTTTTTCCGGCCAATTTTCTTGACATTTAGGGATTTCAGAAGTTAATTAGAATTTTCCTTGAATTTTGGAGAGTCAAAATATTTTTCAAATAGATTTGTACGTTAAAAACCAAGAACCAAAGCTTATTTTGGGGAGTCAAAAGCCCTAACCCTTCTGTGGCAGTAACCAATTACCATGTTTTCACAATATTGGTTTGTCTTTCGGAAAAAAAGCTTCCTGTATTTTTTTTTATTGAAATCGGCTCTGTTAATTTGGAGATGAAGTTAAAAATGTGTAATGTATTATTTATGGATGGATGACGAAGGACCTAAGTTGATTGCAATAGTTCTTATTTGACTTTGTCTCAGGTGAACTACAAAACAATGTGATTGATTTTAGTAAATTAATGAGGACTAATGCTGTACCTGCAATAATCTACGAAAAGGTTCCCAGTCTAATGAAAGCTTGCTGAAGACAGTTACACATAAGTCAGTTGCCACGTGCACATATACAGTGTCAACATATATATTGTACTGCTAGACAAAGCCTCCGAGACTGTTGTACTGTCAGACTGTTACAAAACCCTGATCAGTCACACAGCACAATATATCAAAGTGTCTTAGACACCAGCTGTGACAGATCCTCTTATCAGATACAATGTTCATCACCGTCGGTCACGGTGGCGATGTCGGTCCCGGTCTCGGCTGCGGTCCCGGCTGCTACGACTTGGGTGTGAAGTTCGCCGTAGGAAATCATCCACATCCCTTTCATACTGTTAAATAATGAAAAAAATAACCAATAGAATATCTCTGGGAGTGCTACAATTGATTTTGAAACTTTAACGGTGGAAAACATTTTCTGACAACTTTCTTTACCTTTGAATAATATATATAAACTTCTTTATCAGTTAAATGTAATTTTATTACAAACAATGAATGTAACTGACTTTCTTAAATAACTAAATACTGGAAATTAATTTGAACACAAGGCTCCATGGGCCTGTATTGCTCATCGGTTATTAAATGCTGTTTGCAACTTGTCATATCTGACAATTGAAGTAGGTTAAGGTCAAATTTACTAAAACTAACTAAAAATATATGCCAAGGTCATTTATGTTCTCAAACTTTGAAGTATTCCATGCAATTTACTAACTCTAGGCCTTTTGGTTAATAAGAAGAAGTCATTTGAGTGTTTAAACAAATTTGACCATCAAGGGTAGACAACCAACGTTCCTGCAATGGAGTCCATGCCAATGTGGCGGTAGTGATCCAGAGGTGGATACCTAATGGTATTTATAGTTCTCATGGTGGCAGGTCAAATAAAAAAAGAAAGGATGAACAACAATGGTGTTGTTAGTCATCCTTACTGTTTGAATTTGAACCCTGAAAGTTTGAATAAAAATCAAGGTCATGTATGCTCGCAAACTTTGCAGAACTCCATGCCAGCTAGTTACTGGCCAAATATTACTCGAGGCCTTTTGATTCTGTAAAAGATGGTTTTTTTTTATTTTATTTTTTTAATTTTACAAATTTGAACCCTTTGACCTTGAATATTGGTAAAGATCATTTCCTTTTGCAAAATTTGTAGAACTCCAGTCCAGCATGCTACTGGCCAAATATTGTGTCTTTTGGATTTTTTAATTTTCAGAAACAGTATTATGTATATTTTTCTACATATTTGGTCCAAGTGACCTTGAAAGCAATTCAATGTCAACAAAGTTAAGCTTTATCCCAGGAAACTATGAACCAACAAATATCTTGACCCTCTGCCCATAGGTTTTCAAGAAGTTGTTGATAGAAAACGGACATCATGACCTGCCATAAGCTCACTTAGCTGGTCCTTCAGGCTTTAAGACCGAAAGTCATGCAGGCTAGTAGCTAAGTCTCCAATTTTATTAAACCTAAAGTAAACTTTGAGAAAGGCCTGTCAAATTCTGGAGAAAGAGCGAAAACAAACTGTAACCATCAAAACCAAAGATGAGAGCCTGGTTGTCTAGCAATGCTTCAAACCAAATTTAGTTTAAATCCCTTAAACTGTTATGGACTACATGTAGTAGCATTTTAAAGGCATCTTAATTGATTGATAACGAATGATAAAACTGAAGCTAATGCCATGGCATAATCTGACTTTGCAATAATGGCAAAGAGAGTAAATAATGCAATGGCAAAGAGAGTAAATAATGCAAACATGTGGAGTGTCCAGGTTATGTCTTTAAAGTGAGAAAGCTCTTGAATTAGCCAGTGACCCCCATAGTCTGAAGACATCATCTTATTTTGATCCTAGCTGTTGTGACGATATAACATCTGGACAAACAAACTAATTCCAACAACTTACCCTGACTGTAGTTAATTTTAAATGCTTCATATCCTATTTAATATGAATTGTAACTAGGACTACTTTACTTTGCTATACTGCGATTAGTACCGGATTACTTTATTTACTCTGCTGTGAGTTACGGCTAAACTGGTTGAACATGAAATCAGACTTCATTCTGTTTTAATTGAATTTTACTCCGATCTTTTGATTGTAACTTGGAAAATGGAATAAGCGCATACCGATCTTTTGTCTGTGACTCTGGAACGTGAGGCTACTGCATCCTGGCTGCTGTAGTCTGGTCCTGAAGGCATGAACTCTCTTGGCCGTTCATAATGGCCAGGATACGGAGGCATTGGTTCCATGTGTCCAAATCCAGGTGGCTAAACACAAATATCTTACTTTACATCTAATAATTAAAAACTTTAAATAGGAATATGGACTAGGCTTACGTTGCATATTTTATTTCTTAACTTTCAAGGTTAAATTTTAAATCATGACATCAAATAATTATTTCAAACTCACCGGTGGGCCATAAGGGTGATGCATTGGTGGAGGTGGAGCTCGAGCATGTGCAAACTCACGGATGTAGTCATTGTAGGACTGGAAAGGAAACAAACACATTAGCATCTGGCCAATACAGCTACAGAACAATGCAACTGAAGCATCTCTTACAGAATACTGTAAAGGTGTATCTTTAATACAGGACAATTCTAGAGTGTATCTTACAGAACACTGTAAAAGTGTATCTTTGATACAGAGCAATGTTAGAGTGTATCTTTAATACAGAGCAATGTTATGGTGTATCTTACAGAACACTGTAAAAGTGTATATTTAATACAGAGCAATGTTAGAGTGTATCTTACAGAACAATGTTCGAGTGTATCTTACAGAACAATGTTAGAGTGTATCTTACAGAACAATGCTAGAGTGTATCTTACAGAACAATGTTAAAGTATATCTTAAATACAGAGCAATGTAAGATATTCTCTAACATTGCTCTCTATTTAAGATATACTCTAACATTGTTCTGTTAGATATGCTCTAACATTGTTCTGTAATATACACTCGAACATTGTTCTGTAAGATATACTCTAACATTGTTCTGTTAGATACACTCGAACATTGTATCTTACAGAACAATGTTAGAGTGTATCTTAAATACAGAGCAATGTTAGAGTATATCTTAAATACAGAGCAATGTTAGAGAATATCTTACAGAACAATGTTAGAGTGTATCTTACAGAACAATGCTAAAGTATATCTTAAATACAGAACAATGTTAAGGTATATCTTAAATACAGAGCAATATTAGAGAATATCTTACAGGAAAATGTTAGAGTGTATGTTACAGAACAATGTTAGAGCATATCTTAAATACAGAGCAATGTAAGATACACTCTTACATTGTTCTGTAAGATATGCTCTAACATTGTTCTGTATTTAAGATACTCTCCAACATTGTTCTGTAACATACACTCTAACATTTTTCTGTAAGATACACTATAACATTGTCCTGTAAGATACACTCTAACATTGTTCTGTTAGAGTATATCTTACAGAACAATGTTAGAGCATATCTAACAGAACAATGTTAGAGTATATCTTAAATACAGAACAATGTTAAAGTATATCTTAAATACAGAGCAATGTTAGAGTGTATCTTACAGAACAATGTTAGAGTGTATCTTACAGAACAATGTTAGAGTGTATCTTACAGAACAATGTTAGAGTGTATCTTACAGAACAATGTTAGAGTGTATCTTACAGAACAATGTTAGAGTGTATCTTACAGAAAAATATTAGACTATCTTACAGAACAATGTTAGAGTGTATCTTACGACACAATGTAAAAGTATATCTTACAGAAATGAGACCAATGTTGAAGTGTATATTGCAGAACAATGTAAGAGTGTATCTTACAGGACAATGTTAGAGTGTATCTTACAGAACAATGTGAAAGTGTATCTTCAATACATAGCAACATTAGAGTGTATCTTACAGAACACTGTAAAAGTGTATCTTTAATACAGAACAATGTTAGAGTGTATCTTACATTCCAGTTCATGATCATGACATTGAGTTCCATTGAATGTTTATGGACTCTTCATGAACTTTTCATGAATTTGTTCATGAAAGGATCATAATCAATCAGTGCATAATTCATTAAACTTTTCATGACATGGGAATAGACAACAGACAGGAAACGGAAATGTTACTAGTCTTGGCTTAATTAACCCCCAAAATAGAATAACATTCAAATATAAACTGTAGCCAGGAGGAATAGAATGTTTAAATCATATAAACCATCACCAAAACCTGACACCAAAACCACTAGCGTTCTCTCCACCAATAAACAAGTAACCAAAACCGTCAAAAAATCTAACAACTTATATAGCTATACCTACATCAAGGCACAAATTACCAACTCCTATAGCTAACTTTACAAGCTTCACATACCTGTATGCCAGGATAATTGTCAATAACTTTTAGACCCATAAGACCTCTGTTTTTCACCTGTTTCTTTTGTTACATAGGCAAGAGGTTGAAATACTTCCATTACTTGAGACCATGGTGGTCATCCTAAATTTGTACTATTGACCAAAATAATTTAATCAAGGCAAACAAAGTGTTGCAAGGTAATCCATAGGCCCCCTCCGAGCATGGTGTCTTTAGTTACCAAGCTCCAGACAAATATTCTCAAAGGTCGAGCTCAAAGGTCAAATCATTGCTCACAGTGACCCATTTTTTTGTACTCCACACTCGGCCATAACAAGATGTACTTTGTACCAGATTTAGTTACTCTAGGTAAAATAGTATAGAAAATATGCCCCAGACAATCTTTTTCAAAGGTTGAAATCAAAGGTCAAGCCATAGGTCACAGTCATGGTGACCTTCTTTTTGCATGACACTCTAGATCTGCCAACCCAAGACGTACCTTCATACCACATCTGAAATAATATAGAAGATAAGGCATCAACAAACTTTTTCAAAGGGTTGAGGTCAAAGGTCAAACCACAGATCACAGTGACCTTCTCTCTGTACATGACACTCTGCCATCCCAAAATGTAATTGCATATAAAATCTGGTTACTCCAGGTAAAATAATGTAGATATGCCCCAGACAAACATTTGGGATGCAGATATTTCAGGTGGATGGAGTGCAAAGCTATAGTTCACCCGGAGGGGAACTAAAAATGATACCTGAAGAAGGCAAAGACAGGAACATCTGTATAGTATTTGGTTTAACTGACAGATGCTGCACCACAACAAAAGCTCGCTAGGCAAATTAAGCTAACAAAATTCATAATACCCAAGGAAAGGTTTTAAGACGGAACATAAGAAACACAATGGGAAAGAGTGTTACTTAATATGCAATCATGTTTGACTACTATAACCCCTAATCTTTCTTCGAACAATAACCACAATTTTGAGCTAAACAACTGGAGGGTATGAAGCATGCATAGAGCCTGAACTGACCAGTCTGTGATGGTTACTTTACCTGGGCTGGGTAATGCCCTGATGACACAGTTGGCCTAGAGTTTGACTGCAAAACAAAACACCTCGATGTAGAGGACAAACCAATATTGCAGCAGTTCTCCCAAACTGAAGGCTAACTTAACCAGGCATGCAAAGCCCTACACACTATAGGGTCCTGATGCAAGTGATAATGCTTGTCAGCAGATCAGGAATAAAGTTAACAAAATACAACAATCAAACAAAACAAAACATTTTTGCCAACATACATGCAAGCGTGACAAGGTTATGGTGCTGTAGAATATATCTGGTAAGACTAGACTCACAACCTATTTATATATATCCAAAATATAAATTCCAAAAGCTAAAGATATGTGGTCAGGACTTCTGTTACACAAATTAGTAAAGACAGGCATTAAATTAGTTGTTGTTAATGTAAACTTTAGATAACAGCATTCATACTTTCCGGTAAGGTTTGCTTTCACTATTGTAAGCAACACAGACTACATGTCAATGAGTTCTGGTAACTCAAGGTAAAATAGCACAGAAGATATACCCGGACAAACATTTTCGAAAGTAAAGTCAAAGGTCAATTCAAAGGTCAGAGTGACCTAATTCTTGCACTTTGCGCTCTGCCATCCCAAGATGATCTTGTACGCTGGATCTAGTTACTCCAGGTGAAATAGTATAGAAGATATGCCCAAGACAAATATTTTTAAAAGTAAAGGTCAAAGGTCATGTCATAGGTCACAGTGACCTAATTCTTGCACTCCATCATCCCAAGATGTCCTTGTACACCAAATCTGGTTACTCAAGGTGAACTAGTATAGAAAATATGCCCCGGACAAACTTCGAAGGACAGATTGCAATTCTATAGACGTCCCCCCCCGAACCGGTGGGGGACTAACTACCACACATCTACCTAGGGTATTGGTCAAATGTACAAAATTAAAGAAATATCATTAAAGAAGGAAAGAAGCAATAATTATGACAAAATTTATAGAAAGAAAATCAGAAAAGGGGCCTAACTCTTATAGATATTGTTAATCCAAAATATTTCTCAAGCCCAAGACTATGAAGGGTACTGATGCGTGTAAAAAGTTTCATTAACAATTTTTATAGGGATGTCAGAATGATATTTCTATAGGGATGCTATTTATTCCTAAGGAAATAACAGAAATATGAATTGCAAGAGTAAAACCGAAGTCCCTATTATATGTAGCAAGTTTTATTAACAAGAATTCCACAGGAGTGGATGTGTCGCATGCTCAGCGCTTTTAGTGAGAAAAGCGTTTTGGCTTGAGTTATTGCGTAAACAAGCAAATATTATCAACAGCGTTGCTATGTTGAGTGTGATATGCCAAAACGCGTTAAGTTGAAACTCAACAGAAAAACCTTTAATACAATGTATATGTTGAACATTATTGCTTCTAGCATTACCGTACAAATTTGAAAGGGAATTGATTAAAAAATAAAAAAGTTCTTGCATTTAATACACAATGCACTCATTTGGCAATAAAAGGGGCATAACTCTACCAAAAATGCATGTTAACTTCTGAAATGCGAATTATTCTGGGCTATATTGGTATGCAATGTGTGTACCAAGTTTGAGTTTAATCAACCCAAGGGAACTCAAGGTATTGCATGGAAACCTTTTTTCTGACGACGCAACCGATGACGACCAAGCAAAAATGGTCTAGAATTTCAGCTGCATTGCTTCCATCTACAGATGAAAGGAGCCAACAAACCACAGGCAAAAGGTCATATGAAAAGTTCACCATCTAGCTGATAATGATGATGATGGTGGGCTAATAAAGAAGTCATTTGAGTGATGACAAAAACTTTCATTTTTTTTTTACAGCACTCCAAATGTGTTGCAGGCGTTCTAAAACTAAACTATGTGTTGCAGGCATTCTAAAACTATACTGTTTAAAGAGGTTTTGTCAAAATCTGTTTAGGAATGTAGTTTTCAGTGCTAGGACATATTTTATATAAACAGTTACAGTGACCTTGACGCTGTAGAACATGAAGTCACTCAAGATATTCTCATACATAACCATTGTATAAATGTTAAAAGACAGTTATAGAATGGACAGAAATGACAGGAGCTCATGGAAGAAAAACTGGATAGTAATGGCAATTTATAGAAGACAGACAGTGTGGACAAAAATGAGAGCAGCTACCAGGACTCAAATAATACTCAAAAGTGAGGACAGTCCACATGCATACAGACTTCAATGTAACATCAGTTCACAATTCTAGTCAAGTCAGACACCATATTCCACAACATTCTGTAACTTCATTACACTAGCTACACGTATATAGATAATGGACCAAGAAAGAGGAATCCACACATATAAGAGAGCGGATATAAAACTTTAAAACTTTAAACAAGAAAGTGGTAAGCATGAAGTAGGTCAGAAAATGTAATGGAATATGGAAAAGATTATTGCTTACATAGACATATAAACATTCAAAAATATGTCAAAACCTACCCCATTTATAAATGTGTCCCGCCTTACTCCTGCATAGCGTGGAGTCCTGTAAAACAAAAGAATGATTTAGTAGTTGGTCATGAACTTGTATACTGAACCTTGAAATCCTCATATCTTTCTAATCATGACAATGCTCTTGTACCATTTCTGTAAAGACAGAGGTTTATGTGCAGGGGTAATGTCAAAGTGCTCAAACATCTATGGTAGTTGCTGGTTCCCGACTCAGCTTTGCAGAATATCCCTTAATCTAAATCTCTTTGTATTTTGGGCTTGCTATGGGCTTGCCTTAATATACCTACATGTATGAGGCGTGGAAGGAGTCTTTCAGGTCAACGATTTTGATGAAGGAGGGGATGTTGTGGAAGTATTATGGTTCAATTGCTGATTAAGACTTATTTGTTTATGGCTCTCGTTTAGAGTTTGGAGGTCCCAGTCTTGAGATTATTTTTTCTGTTACATGTGACACAAACCAAGAGAGAGAGTGAGTAAGGCTCATAATGTCTTATAATTGTTATATTTACATTTGCATGGCATTGTCACTATATAGCCTCTTTGAAAGCTGTGTCGTTGATGGGACTTGAATTACCATGCAGCACGAGACACAATTCTTAGCATATTAACACTGACAAAATTGCTAGCGCGCATTATGTTGTTTGCTTGCAAAGCTGTGTCATTCAAATAGATCATAAATACCATACAAAAACAGTTCAATGCTTAAATAATAATCTTTTAACCGAGTTACTCAAAGTGGTGACCATCTGAGTGTTTTATACCGATTATGACTGGACTTTGGTGAATTTCTCTTCAGCTCATTCAGTAGAGCACTGTAGTCACAGGTTGGACCCAAATTAAAAAAAGTGCCCTTAGTTACATTAATTAATGAGATGGTAATGTTTCTACATAATGTGACCCACATGTGATATGGACAAATCACAATGTGTATGTATCAATTTAACTTGTGATTTAAAACAAGCCATTTGGATTGATATTTCTTCGCCTGTGCCCTGCTTTGACCATCAAAGCACATGTCAAGTTTGGTCGATCTAGCACTTATAGTTTCAGAGAAGTTAACCTAAATGGAAAAACTTAATGTTGATTGAGATGCTGACAAAGTCAATGGACCATAAAAGGTAGGCTGCATCCAACATTTGATGCATGGGCTGAGATGTACTACCTAAGATGCATCTATGGTCCAAGTTTGGTTGATCTAGCACTTATACTTTCAGTGAAACTAACTTAAAGGCAAAAACTTAACGTTGACACAGGCTGTCGCTGGAAAAGCAACACCTTAGGCGAGACAAAAATTGTACCAATGAAATAACATAAACAAATGTTCTCACACATAGAATTAACATCATGTAATTAAGATAAGATTGACTTGTTAATCAGACTTTGACTGAAATGGTGTCTTCTTTGACGATACATACCAAAGTTCTCTCATGAGCACTATTAGTGCATGTTGCTTAAAAACTTTCAATGGCAGGAATATATGACATGAAGTACTAACCTGTTGTCCATCCTGCGGTCCTTGAATAAACCTGCAACATCAGATAACAATATTTAATAACACCTACCCTATTTAGGTCTATGAGGACCACAAGAAAAGGTTGCTTCAGCTTTTCACACATTTGAGCCTGATCCAAAGTGGGTCAAGGTCTTTTATTCAACATGTATATTAACATTTAATAGCACTAATTTATTCCAACAAGCTAAAAGAATGTTGTTAATTTAGAACATATGGTTGTTAAAAAAGTCCCTTGTTGATTTTAAAATATTTGACCATGTGTACTTGAAAGGAAGTCAATGTCATTAATTTTAACAATTTTATAGCCTGTCTACCAGCTGAATATCATAAAGGCCGATCTTTCGATTATTCTAAAGTTATCTAAATATTTTAACAAATTTTACCTAACTTTTATACAATGGTCAAGTATGAGAATACATTACGTAACTTTTATTTTCTTTCGTGTTAAGGTCACTGTTACTATTTATGCAAAGAATATTGCATTCTATGCTAGCAAATAGCGAAATATTACCATATGCCTTGCTATTCTGAGGTCATTAAATATTGACCTTGAATATAGACAAAGTCAGTACCATCAGCAAGCTTTATAACACACTTTTTCAGAAAACTTTTTGGCCAAACTCATCAAAAGAATTGGTTTGAGCATTTCAACAAGTATATTTTTTTAGGCCAATTGTTTATTTCAAAAGCTGTATAGCCTTTAAGATTATCTGACCTCTGTGACCTTCAATATGAGTCAAGGTCATTTCTTATTGCAAAATTTGCAGCATACCATTCCAGCAAGCCAGTAACAATTATCATGACAAAAGGCCTTTTGGTTTTTCATAAGCAGTTGTTTGAGTGATTAACATATTTGTCCCCTGAGACCTTTATATGGGTCAATGACTTTTAAACATTGATGAAGTTAAATGTGAAGATAGAGTCTAAATCTGCATACCACTGTCTCGGTCCATGTCACTCCTAAAGCGCTTCCTTCTCGGGCTATCAAAGATGTCATCACGGAAACGCCGCCTTCTGAAATTTTGGAGTGTTTTAAAAGTAAATTAGGCAGGGAATCACACCTTCAGCAGAAACATTCACAAGTAACAGAATAATGTTCTTTTACCTTTTATAAACTGTAATATAATATAATGAAGTATTTCAAGTAAGTTCTGAAAATCAAATCTATATGCATAGTTTTAACTCGAGATTGTTTGACTTTAACAGTTTTAAGATAGATACTATATATGTGGTATGACTGACATGTTTACTCTGTACATGAAAACTAATATATGTTTTTGTCTGCAAATATGTTGTGGTTTGGGAAGCTTTCACTTACAAACATCCTTTTAGTTATATTATACGGCAATTAACAAAAGTAAGTAAAAACTTCAACTCAATAGGACAGCTCTGTGATTCCATTTTAAAGTACTGAGGCTGCTTCTAAGTGTAATAACACATTCATGTTCCAAGAATTTTATATATTTTTTGAAATATACTGAGACTATGATGCAGTTTTAAAAGCACCATCATATATACTAAGGCTGCTGTACAGTATAATGAAAATCATGAACTCAGACTGCTATACATTGCTATAACACTAATATAATTATCATCAGACTGCTCTACAGTGTAATAGAACCATCTAATTACCTACCTGGCAAATCTCTTAATAGTGATACAGCCAGTTATATTACATACCTGGCTTATCTCACTATAGTGACACAGGCAGTTTTATTACATACCTGGCTTATCTTACTATAGTGATACAGCCAATTTTATTACATACCTGGCTAATCTCACTATAGTGACACAGGCAGTTTTATAACATACCTTGCTTATCTCACTTTAGTGACACAGCCAATTTTATTACAAACCTGGCTTATCTCACTATAGTGACACAGGCAGTTAAATTACATACCTTGCTTATCTCACTTTTGAGACAAAGCCAGTTAAATTACATACCAGGCTTATCTCACTTTAGTGACACAGGCAGTTTTATTACATACCTGGCTTATCTCACTTTAGTGACGCAGCCAGTTTTATTACATTCCTGGCTTATCTCACTTTAGTGCCACAGCCAGTTTTATTACGCTTATCTCACTTTAGTGACACAGCCCGTTTTATTACATACCTGTCTTATCTCACTATAGTGACACAGCCAGTTTTATTACATACCTGGCTTATCTCACTATAGTGATACCGCCAGTTTTATTACAATCATGGCTAATCTCACTATAGTGATACTGCCAGTTTTATTACATACCTGGCCTATCTTACTATAGTGATACAGCCAGTTTTATTACATACCTGGCTTATCTCACTATAGTGACACAGGCAGTTTTATTACATACCTGGCTTATCTCACTTTAGTGACACAGCCAATTTTATTACATATCTGGCTTATCTCACTATAGTGATACAGACAGTTTTATTACATACCTGGCTTGTCTCACTATAGTGACACAGGTAGTTTTATTACATACCTGGCTTATCTCACTATAGTGATACAGCCAGTTTTATTACAATCATGGCTAATCTCACTATAGTGATACAGCCAGTTTTATTACATACCTGGCCTATCTTACTATAGTGATACAGCCAGTTTTATTACATACCTAGCCTATCTTACTATAGTGATACAGCCAGTTTTATTACAAACCTGGCCTATCTTACTATAGTGTTACAGCCAGTTTTATTACAAACCTGGCCCATCTCACTAAAGCGATACAGCCAGTTTTATTACAAACCAGGCCTATCTCGCTGTAATGATACAGCAGTTTTATCACATACCTGGCCTATCTCACTATAGGGATATAGCCAGTTTTATCACATACCTGGCCTACCTCACTATAGTGATACAGCCAGTTTCATTACATACCTGGCTTATCTGGCTTTAGTGACACAGGCAGTTTTTTTACAATACATGCCCGGCCTATCTGATACAAACAGTTTTATTACATACCTGGCTTAGCTCACCTATCTCACTATAGTGATATAGCCAGTTTTATCACATACCTGGCCTACCTCACTATAGTGATACAGCCAGTTTTATTACATACCTGGCCTATCTCACTATATTGATACAGCCAGTTTTATAACATACCTGGCCTATCTCACTATAGTGATACAGCCAGTTTCATTACATACCTGGCTTATCTGGCTTTAGTGACACAGGCAGTTTTATTACAATACATGCCTGGCCTATCTTTCTATAGTGATACAGCCAGTTTTATTACATACCTGGCCTATCTTACAATATAGATAAAGCCAGTTTTATTACATACCTGGCCTATCTCACTATAGTGATACAGACAGTTTTATTACATACCTGGCTTATCTGGCTATAGTGACACAGGCAGTTTTATTACAATACATGCCTGGCCTATCTCGCTATAGTGATACAGCCAGTTTTATAACATACCTGGCCTATCTCACTATAGTGATACAAACAGTTTTATTACATACCTGGCTTAGCTCACTATAGTGATACAGCCAGTTCTATTACATACCTGGCTTATCTCACTATAGTGATACAGCCAGTTTCATTACATATCTGGCCTATCTTACAATTTAGATAAAGCCAGTTTTATTACATACCTGGCCTATCTTACAATATAGATAAAGCCAGTTTTATTACATACCTTGCCTATCTCACTATAGTGATACAGCCAGTTTTATTACATACCTGGCCTATCTTACAATATAGATAAAGCCAGTTTAATTACATACCTGGCCTCTCTGGCTTTAGTGATACTGCCAGTTTTATAACATACCTGGCCTATACCTCGCTATAGTGATACAGCCAGTTTTATTACATATCTGGCCTATCTTGCAATATAGATAAAGCCAGTTTTTTTTACATACCTGGCCTATCTTACTATAGTGCTAAGTCAGTTTTATTACAATACATGCCTGGCTTATCTTTCTATAGTGATACAGCCATTTTTATTACATGCCTGGCCTATCTTTATATAGTGATACAGACAGTTTTATAACATACCTGGCCTATATCTCGCTATAGTGATACAGACCGTTTTATAACAAACCTTGCCTGTCTCACTATAATGACATAGCCAGTTTTATTACATACCTGGTAAATCTTACTTCAGTGTTACAGCCAGTTTTATTACAAACCTGGCCCATCTCACTAAAGTGATACAGCCAGTTTTATTACAAACCAGGCCTATCTCGCTGTAATGATACAGCCAGTTTTATAACATACCTGGCCTATCTCACTATAGTGATACAGCCAGTTTCATTACATACCTGGCTTATCTGGCTTTAGTGACACAGGCAGTTTTTTTACAATACATGCCCGGCCTATCTTTCTATAGTGATACAGCCAGTTTTATTACATACCTGGCCTATAGGACTATAGTGATACAGCCAGTTTAATTACATACCTGGCCTATCTTATTATATAGATAAAGCCAGTATTATTACATACCTGGCCTATCTTTCTATAGTGATACTGCCAGTTTTATAACATACCTGGCCTATACCTCGCTATAGTGATACAGCCAGTTTTATTACATATCTGGCCTATCTCACAATATAGATAAAGCCAATATTATTACATACCTGGCCTATCTCACTATAGTGCTAAGTCAGTTTTATTACAATACATGCCAGGCCTATCTTTCTATAGTGATACAGCCAGTTTTATTACATACCTCGCTTATCTCACTTTAATGACACAGCCAGTTTTATTACATAACTGGCTTATCTCACTATAGTGACACAGCCAGTTTTATTACATCCCTGGCCTATCTTACAATATAGATAAAGCCAGTTTTATTACATACCTGGCCTATCTTACAATATAGATAAAGCCAGTTTTAATACATCCCTGGCCTATCTCGCTATAGTGATACAGCCAGTTTTATTACATACCTGGCTTATCTCACTTTAATGACACAGCCAGTTTTATTACATACCTGGCTTATCTCACTATAGTGACACAGCCAGTTTTATTACATACCTGGCCTATCTTACAATATAGATAAAGCCAGTATTATTACATACCTGGCCTATCTGGCTTTAGTGATACTGCCAGTTTTATAACATACCTGGCCTATACCTCGCTATAGTGATACAGCCAGTTTTATTACATATCTGGCCTATCTTACAATATAGATAAAGCCAGTTTTTTTTTTACATACCTGGCCTATCTTACTATAGTGCTAAGTCAGTTTTATTACAATACATGCCTGGCCTATCTTTCTATAGTGATACAGCCAGTTTTATAACATACCTGGCCTATATCTCACTATAGTGATACAGACAGTTTTATAACAAACCTTCCCTGTCTCACTATAATGACATAGCCAGTTTTATTACATACCTGGTAAATCTTACTACAGTGTTACAGCCAGCTACATTACATGTACTTGACCTATCTCACTATAGTGCTAAGTCAGTTTTATTACAATACATGCCTGGCCTATCTTACTTTAGTGATACAGTCTGTATTATAACATACTTGGCAGTATAAAATACACCGTAATGACATCATCATATATTCAGACAGCTATCAAGTGTAATAACACCATCATATACCCAGGCTAATATCCAGTGTAATAACACCATCATATACCCAGGCTAATATCCAGTGTCATAACACCATCATATACCCAGGCTAATATCCAGTGTCATAACACCATCATATATCATATCATATTGAAAATTCCAAAATATCATGCCTTACATTTGTTTTATCTAACATTTGATATACCGTGACCAACTCACAAGGTCACAAGTCATGAACTGTGACCTTGGAAGTGGGTCAATCTATCCTTTTACCCAATAGTCCTTCATTACAGCAAGTTATGCTACATCTATCATAACTCCGACTCTTGGTAAAACATTATAAAATGCAAATACGAATTAATGAAATAAAAAATTATGAAGCAGAAGGTCACAGTACCTAACAGTTAAAAAGGTACAACTGAAAAGTTTGCACTTATATGACCTTTGACCCTGAGGTCAAGGTCACATTGACCTAACCAGTGCTCTGCACATCATTGATTGATGTTGCAGGTATATTGCTAGATTTATCAAGATATCTTTTAACAGATCTTAAGTTATGACCAGAACAAGAAGTAACTGAGAAGTTTGCACTTATTTGACTTTTGACCTTGACCTATAGACAGTGCACTACACATCGTCTGTGGGTGATGCAGGAATACTGCAAGTTTCATAAATGCATCTTTAAATGTTTAAAAGTTATAGCCGAGATGATAAATTATTATAGGAACCAGTACTAACACAGCATTTCTCCATTCAAAGGGGAGACATAATTATGGTTTTATATATATATAGAGAGAGAGAAAAAATAAGATCTAATGACCAACTAAAAAACAAGCTGCTTTCACCCTTCACAGAGCTCTTCAGGTGAAGGGTGAAAGCAGCTTGTTTTTTAGTCAGTCGTTAGATCTTAGTTTTTCTATATTTACTTACCTCACATGGACATTTAATCATTTTTTATTTTCTATATTTATATATATATATAAATGTCTGACAGTTATCACGACATGACCTCTAACCTTGACTTGTTTAAATACAAGAGTGCATTACCTTCAGTATATACAGTGTATTGTGTCCTACAGAAACTGGAATTTTCATTAACAGCCTTAAAACTTCCTCACACTGCTCAGACCCGTTACATTGCTTTTGCATTATAATGCTACTCTGAACTTCACTTCCCCTTTAACATTTCTTGATGCTTATATCAGAGAATATGTGAGTTATCAATAACTGTTCTATGGTTCCGAGATGATTCACTTTTTTTTAACAATTATTGACCCTATATTGGTGACGAAATTTTGACTACCCACCATTGGCATTATCACCCTATCAGGTAAACAAAACCTCATATCACACGAATATGGGGGTCAATAATGTGGTAATAAGATAATGCGACTGTACAAATCATATACCAGATATATAAAGAATTGATTAAAAATTTCTTCCACTCACCTTTTTCAGTAAGTAGCATAAAAGTCTGTAAAGAGCATCCAACAAACCATTTGACTTGTACACAATTATTATTAATTTGTATTGTTTCTAACACCCACTGTGCACATTGCCTTGCAATTTGCCACTTTAAAGTTGTACTCAATGTGCAACAACAAAGCATGTTGTAAATATCCGATTGTATACGAAGCATGCTGTAAATTTCAAATTGTATAAGTATAAATACATATTTCGACAGAATCTGATAAATTTTGTACAATTTACAGGCACATAAAACCAGTATTACTTATAATCTCTCACATATAGGCAAACACACAGACAAACAGTATTAATCATACGGTTAGCAGATCTTTAAAAGCTCAATTTGTCAAAACTTTCATGTGGACATTATCACAGTTAAGACAAAAAAAAAGTGCAAAATAGTTGTTGGAAACACTACAGTATATTAAAACATGTCAAATAGTCAGCTGAATACCTTTTTACAGACTTAATCATAATATATATGTCACTGCCCAGATCTGGAGGAACTTCCTAATACCAGACATTTTTCTTTTCATTGACAAGAACTTAAGATTGATACCCAGATGTTTCCCCCTGTACAAGGGGTACTGGGAATCATTTAAAAGTAAAACAAGAATATTCTCAATATGCCTCACACTTGTATGAAAGTCAGTACACTCCAGTTCTACACATGGCTTATTACATAGAATCTCAGATACACTCCTGCTCTACAAATAGAATTTAGGATACAAGCCTACTCTACAAATAGAACCTAAGTAACATTCCTGTTTTACACATGTACATCGCTTATGGAATCACAGATACACTCCATTTTTACACATGGAATCACAGAGCTTTGTATTTCATGGGGGAAAGTTAATAATTAGAACTTCATTGTGTAAACAATTGTTGACAGATGTAATTTAACATGTTCAGTAGCTGGTTTAGTGTTCTTGGACCTAATAATATTTACATAAATTATACGGAAAAAAATAATCTAAAAATAAATCTCAATAACATTTAACTTAGCAACTGGTGTTAACACTTATTTAAATTTTGTTACTCCTACCGGCTTTCATTCAAAATTTAGAGCAACTGTATTTTATTTGGTTTGCAAGCGTGAATATCTCTCAAATTATTTTCTTATTTTGTTATATTAGGTGACAACGAAAACTTGTCACAAGTTTTGTCGAAATATGCATGAATCCGTTTTATAGACATACCGTCAATTGTGAATGTTCTCCTACGGCAGGATTACAAGTCCGCAACATCAGTTTAAGTCACACAAATATTGTTCTTTTTACATAGGCTAAGGTAAAGTGCCCACAGTGAGTATAATAGCGGAATGTCCAATTCCAGCACTAGATATACAGGGGTCCACACATACATAAACATCATTAGAGGTTAACTACTATGTCCCTGAGTGCCACACAATTAGCAGGAGAGAATGAAAGTCCCACAATAGTAGTACTGACTGTAGGTGTGGAAATGTTCATTCACTCAGACACAACACATCACTGTTGACACACCAAGTTAGCATCCTCCCCACCATCAGTCACAAAACAGTTCAAAAGCATTGAATACAACGCTGCTCTGACCAGTGGTATGTGGTGAGGGGGTGACTAACTTGTTTAGACATTTCATGGATGCAGAAGCAGGATCCTTCGTTAGAAAAAATATACGGCTAAAAACAGACCAGCATGCTTTTGAGGCATCGAGTCATGTGTAAGAATTAAGATTTCAAAATTGTCCATGGAAGATGAGAAAATTAGTCCATTTTATCGAAAAAACACTTGCCAAAGATTCCATTACTTTCGCAAAGAAATGGCAACAATAATGTAGGTGTTGAGAATAGGTTGGTTTCTACATCAATCCACTGCATACTGGTTGGTAGTTGCCAGAGCAGATAGTAAGATGGGCAAATCTGCTCCACTTTAACTTATTTAAGTCCATTAGATACTCTGGTCTGGTTTAAGCTTCCTAAATATCAGTCCATTTTTTTTATAAATGTATTCCATTTCTTTAATGGTAGAGAAAATGAAAATGAAAAAGTCCCTTGAATCAGCATTAACGGTTTGGAATCTTCACAGTAGATGGAAATGTCCATATGTTTGGTAATTCCCATAAAATTAGATTTTTGTTTACCTGAAAGAGTCTTTAAAACAGGTCAGTGAATTACATATTCTAGGAAGAATGTTGTTTTCACCATATACTTACCACAGATATGTTCACTAAAAACATTATATTCGCCTCATTATTTTTTCTCACCTTATCAATAGTAAAGAGGCATGTGGAATAAGTTTTTTTTAACATTACTGATTTTGACACCATTTGATTTCCCGTGACAGAACGAGCTGCCTGTTGTGAGGCAGTGAGTAGCCAGTGGGGTGACTACATGTTCATGACCCTGACCCAGACTGAGTTTCAGGTCACACCTCTTCTGGGGTCACAAGAATACAACCATCCAAACGTGAAGAAACCTAACCTATTGAAGTCCCCTCTCCGTGGTCCTGATGCTCCTCCCCCTCCTCTGAAAGGTTCTCTTCGTCGTTGGTCAATCACACGCGTACGAGATCCATGTCGCGATTTCTTTGCTTTGCGAACTATTGCACTCAGATCAACATTATTGTCTGAAGGAAACATCTTGCAGACAGTTTCTCCACAGCGTGCTTCAATTTCCTGCAATAAGGGAGTATTAACATTATACATATCGTATTTATCACTGTGGTACAAAATCTTTTTTTTCTTTAATTCATCATTCTCAAATATTGTGCATTAAAGACAATTTCACTGACATTTGGAAAGTGAAACTTGTCTTTAGTGTTCATAACTTATATAACCACTTAACCAGCTATGTTCAGTGAGATAGGCAGACAGACACTTTATATCTACTCACTACAGTGATTTCATACAAGCATACCAACATTTTAATTTCACTCCTGAATGCATGTTTAAGGGCTGTAAATCAAAAACAAATAAATATTTCATAGAGAACAAAAAACTATGTCTTGACTTATCACCCAATATGCATATCTGCTTTCACTTATTTGACCTTTTACCTAGAGGTGAATGTCCTGATGAATGTCCTGGTACACTGCACACTTTCTGTGGGTGATGCAGGTATTGATCAAGTTTCATAAAAAATATCTTCAATGGTTTAAAACTTACGGCTCAGACAAAATCACTTGCCTTGTGAAGTCAGTATGTTAAAGTAAGAACCTTGCATGTTCAACTGTACAAGTTATTACTACTTATTTGATAGTTACCAATCAAACCTTTATACCTTTACAAAAAACTTTTACTGTATAGATATATTGCTTCTCTTTGCAGATATTTGAAACCATAACAAAAAGCCCAGGGACCTTAACAGTCATTCAAGTTGTAATATATAGTTTTTATTTTTTAGTGTTGAGATTTGGAAAGGAAATAATCATGGAGACAAAGAAACACAGTACTTTTCATGCCTGAAGAAAAAATCTATCGAAATGAATAATTTGGTATTGAATGAGAAATAGTATTTTTTTGACATTTAGCAAATTTCTACTCATCCCCAGGGGAGGGATGAGTCAGGATCCTTTCTCATACCACGTTATTGTGAACCCATCATAACTATTCCAACCAAGTTGAAATAGTCCTTTCTGAAAATGGACAAAATATGGTCAAAAGTTTTGTTTCCTTATATAAACATATAGCAGTAAACTTTACCCATCTCCAAAACAGATACAATTTAAATAAAGCACCCAGGGACTTTTCAATCCATGAATAGTATTTGATTCTGGTACTTCTGAATCAAGCAAAGAAGATTTTTGATATATGATAGTGAAATTGAGGATGAAAAAATTGAATAGAGAAAAAAAACACCACTTGGCACATGAAGAGGAGCATAAGCTGAACTAGTCAGCACCATGAAATTTTCCCACGTTAGGATGAGTGGACGAGTGAATTTGCCATGGCCTTGTATTGCTTTCTCTTAGTTAAGTATCTCAACATATTCATTCCTGTATTGTTCCTGATGACCTTTGGCACATAATACCCTACCATTAATGATCTACTGTATTTTGGTCATGGTACATGTACATATATTAATAATTTTGATTGATTTGCAGCCTTAATGAATATACAACTCAATATGACAATATACAAACTAAAAGTATTCATTGAAATGCTTAATTAAAATGTCCAATACATATTCTTTTCGCCTCTTTTAATTCCTAAGCCTGAAAACTTTCATACCTGTCCATCACGGCCAATCTTTACAGGTTTGTTGTCATTCCAGGAATTATGTAGATGACTTGTCTTCGTGAAGGATAACTCTCGTCTTGTGGAGTTGAAAAAGAGGTAAAATTATGAACGAGTTATGAATCAACTTTAAAATGTTCTAATTCAAAAATATAATTCTGATGACAGTACATGAATAATTTTTATCTAACTCTAACCATCAAATTAACCATTATAACATTTTTTGAGGAGAACAATTATTGTGATGCATTTTATCCAAAATTTTCTGTCTCTGTCAAACAAAGGATTATTTTCAGTAGATTTCATTAATAATGCCCACAAAGCAATACCTGTTGATCCAGTCTAGCTTGAAGACACCACTCAAAGCCCTCGCACTTAACCCAGGAGGCAAAACCCAACGGATAGGGGGGTGGTCTTTGGTAGATTCTTCAACAATGCGGGCAAATCCTAAAAAGAAAAAAATGGGAAATTCTCCATTTAATTATTTAATACACACATTGAAAAAAGAAATGGATAACAGTTGAACAAAAGGTGCCAATGCTCCCAGTAATGACAATCATTTCCTTAGGTCACTTTCTGCAGTGGTCCGGTATAACCAGTCTCCAAGACTGTTGGAAACAATCACATTTTATCAGTTTGGAATTAATTTCAAAGGCTGAAATTTAGTGCAATTTGCTCCTCAAAGCAAAGTAGCAGGATTTGGTGAATTATCAACATTTTTCTTGTAATTCATGCATTGTTTTTCTTCTGGAATAAACTTGTACCTATTTTTTGATAAATATCCAGTACCTGGTAAATTCTTTTAAGACGGCCATTAAAAGTTATAGACTTTTTACCATTGAACTGACCACACATTCAATTTTTTTTGCTTTGGGCCATATTAATTAGCAATTTAGATATCTGTCAATTCCTGGTAAATTATGCAGTGTTTGAATTTTTAGTACCTACTTTATGTTATTAATCATGGAGACTTCACCATATGTATGCCATTTTTAAAAGCTGCGGTTAAAAAAATTGGTTAGGTGTCTGTTCCTTCATTTTGTATCCAATGTCAAATACTAAAGCAAAAGCTACACATACAACAAGCAAAGAAAAATAAAGTCCTTTTCTATATTTCACATGCACATAAATGTCATATGTAACAGATACATATGCTTTAGAGTGGAAACATGTCAATGCCAAAACATGTTGATCATGTGAAAATGAGTAACACTTTTATGCATTTGAATGTCACTTCATAAAAGTTGCATCCTTTCCTGGAATTGAATCTGAATGTCACTCAAATTGAATCGCTAATGAAATTGCAGTATACTTAGCTCGTCTTTGTATAATAATAAAAAGAAACGATCTAAATGCAGACTAAGTTCCTTCAGTACGTATCCAGTCACATATGACTAAATAATTGTGAAGAAACTATCAACCAGAATGTGGTATGTTAATTATGCACAGATTTTACTGAAATTTAAACACTGCCTTAGTCTTTGCACATGTTCACAGATACAACTTGATCAAAATCAGAAATGTATGTAATTTATTGTGCTGAAATGAAATTCTCTGAAAGTTTGTCCCTAATATAAACATTACCTTGAAATTTTCCACTTTCTTTGACAGAGAAGATCAGTATCACATTATCACAGCTCTGAAATAAAATAAATAATCTTAACAGGTTGCATTGATTTTGTCATGTAAGAAATACTTCTGGACAATAAAATATTTTTTTAGGGTGGGTCATCAGATCTCATGGTTAATTCTAGAAGCATGATAATTCCCCCCCNAGCAATTGTATAGAGACTTGGGAGTCTAGAGGCCGGGCAGAGGATTGGAATCTCACAAGCATGTTGTTTGTATGATAATGGATGATGGACGACAGACACACAATGGACCATGGACCAGCTATTGCTACTCTTTCTAACTTTTACTTAAGTATGTTCAGTTTCAATATCAATCATTCAAATAGCCATCCTTACATTACATATATATATATATACAATCTGCCATGATTCATATTTGATACCACTCTCAAGCTATTAGCGTTTATTTAGGGGTTAGTATGTTGTTTTGGAGTGGCTATACTGGCGATCAGAACATGAAATTTGGGTTTGAACTTGAGACCGATAGGTCGAGAGTTTAAACCAATTTTCATGTTCTAATCGCCAGTATAGACATGAAAAACGTACTATCCCCATTCGAACACACCTTAACAAATATACTACGCTAATATGTTTAGAAACATTGTATTTCCTTGTACAAAAGTACAAAGTAAAGTACTCTTTGACTTCAACTTGCGACGTTTCATTCTGCAGTGGACTGACCAATCGGAAAGAAGCTTTCAAAATTCGGTCATTTGGCCCCGCCAATACTGGTGAGCGCTCGATCTGTATGTTGACAAGGCAGAATATTTGGATTGTTCGTGAACGTCCTGTTACCAAAGTTTATAGGACACATTTGGATTAATATTGACCAAATTCTTACATTTCCATGTCAGTATGCATACCAATTTTTGCTTATCGACAAAATCGGTGATTATTTGTTTTGTGTAAATTTGCACGACACATGTGAAATGTTTCATTTGATTTCGGATCTAACTAGATGCCTTCACACGGATGGAAAGAACAAGGAATTCATTCAACAAATACATTTCATTGGTCGTTTTTGTTCTGTTGCCTGCTAGCCTTATCAACATGATTCCGCTTAGAGGCGAGCTTAACGTCATATTGTTTTGGTTAGAAACGGGGCGTGGCTTAAGTGCGATGGAAGGAGCTTAACACGATTGATCACGATTCTATTGCAGATTAGAACATGGTCCGTTTCCAATCATTACACGCATTGCAAATGAATCGTGTTAGAATGAGGCATTGATTGTAATATTTTTATTTTCTTCAAATGCGATGAAACTTCTCTTCATTGTTCTTTATTTACACATTCCTTTTTGTCACTCTGACAAAGACCAGTAAATGCTAGTTTACCCTGAAGGCCTGATTCAGCTTAGCCTCGTTTTGGGGAGGTGTTGACCAAACTCCTTTGGCTTTGGCTAAAGCTACATTCTCGTGGTTGTTGCTCTTTATCAGGAAGTAGCGTGCTCCTCGGAACAGGTATTTCAGCTTGGAATACATACCTGTGACAAATACAAGAGGAATACACAATGAACTGGATATACAGCCCACAGGCTTACTAATAACCCCATTCCAGCCAGAAGGTCCTGCAGCACTCTTGACTGTGATTTTATATGTAAGCTTATTATGACTGTTCATAGATTAGAAGAGCTTAGCAACTGGACAATTTTTATGAGCAATAACTTGATTAAGTTATGTTGATTCTAAATGCCAACATTATATTCTCAACAGGGAAATGTCAAAATACTTCTATGTTGTACATGCAGAAGACTCTGTCTCCCTAAATGTCTCTTCACCTGTCAGTCTTTCTCAATGCTGACCTTTGACCACACCACAACAAATTAGCAAAAAAATAGCAATTTGCCAAGTATGATGATTCTTTGCTTTTTGGACCATGAGAAGATTTTGAAATTTTCTTTTACCTGTAATAGCCTTGGATAAACTTCGATGCTGGCAAGCTCTCAAAGACAGCCACTGACCTCAACACATGTTAGAAAAAGATGTGATGCGGTCTTCATACCATAATGAAGGTTCATTGCTCTAGACCTCACAACCATTTTTAGACTGATAATGTTGTTTGTGCTTTTGACTCATGCCCATATATATGAGACCTTGAAGTTGGTCAGAGTTGTTCAAGAAAAAGTTATTAACATTCTCTCTCAGGTGGCTACTGACCAAATATAATGATCCTAGGTATAATGGAAAATAAGAAGAAGCCACGTGAGCTAAAATTGAGTGCCTTCATATTAAGTTTATATCTCACGTCTTTGAGTAGAGTCGTCAGATTTGTCGCTTTTGTTATCGTTTTCTTCACTTTTGATTTCCTCCTCTTCCTCATCTGTATCTTTTTCTTCTTCCCCATGCTCTGCTTCCTCGCCCTTGAAGCCACTCTTGCGGTCCCACTCAATGGGTGAAATTCCTCTTTTCTTCTTCTTCCTCTTGCTGGGTCCCTCCATATCATCATCACTCCTCATCTCAGCATCTGTAAGTATTAGAACACTGGTTATCAAAGATCAGAGTGTGGTGAGAAGGTATGAATGGGGATATAGAATTGAAAATGTGAAAGGCATTCATGTATGATACTATACATGATTGACTTGTGACCTTTTCAATGTGGGTCAAGGTCTTCTGTTTTGCAAACTTTGTCATGACTCTAGGACACTTGTTTTTTTTAGATTTAGCTATTTTGAGAGTTTTAACATATACGGAAAAAGACAATTTGACCAGCCCACATATCTGATAATAACAGGCTAACAAAAGTACACCAGATACTTCAGCATAGTAAGATTGTTGAGCACTAGTAAAGTGACTAGTAAGAGGCTCAATATCAGTTTGTGATACTCCACCTTTCCAAGATACATTAACCCTTAGGCTGCTACATTGATTTCTATGTAAAGGGACACCACTGCTGAATTAATTGTTGAAATTTAAATTAATTTACTTGATTTTTTAAATGTGCATAACTTGAAAAATGTTTGTTATATGAAAAAAAGTTGAATGAAAATTGTTCGGTGTTGTCTCTTGTTTATATTAACGTTTTCAATTCTAAAGTTGCTTCAGTATTTACCTGTACAGGTGGTAATAAAGGTAAGAAAAGGTGAAACTTTTAATTAATCAGATTTAAGCAAGAGAAAGATCATTTTAAAATCATTTTTGTCCGCAAATGTGATTGGCAAATGATAACAGAGATTATAAACTTCATTTTTGACATAAGACGCTTTACATTTACAGGTAAAAAGGTCAGGTATTTCGTCAAGAATTGCATGTGATTTGTTACAGGTTTCAGGTCGTTATTCAATATATTTACTGTCACAGTCGGCATATAGATATATCTTAGCTACGGTCTAGTTTATGATTAAATCATCGATAAAAAGCTTGAAGAAATAAATCGACTCAAAATGTATCAATGTCAATGTTCAATTCGGCCTCACCTGCAGACGACATATGGACCGAAGCGCACAATCAGCCAATATTTTCCTTTTTGCGTAGGGCACAAAGCCGCTCATTGGAAAGTTACATATTATGTTACACCAAAGTATTTCCAAATCAAACATGTCAAACCCTTCAAAACCTTTATTATCACCGTAGGTTGACGCTGGAGAATAAATGTTTACCATCATATTCATCGCATCAATCTACATGTCCGCCATTTTTATGACTTTTTTTCAATTCGAAATTCGCTCGCACACCTTTGGTCATTACTAGGGTACACTGCCAGGAATATCGCATGTAATGACAAAACAACCAATCAGAAACCTCCTACAATATGCAGACTTTGTTGAATTCAGACCATTCCTGGGAGAATTATTGCGAAGAATACTCATTTAACTTGCATTAAATCGCAATTTTCTAAAAGCAGGGCATAAAACTTCTGCAAAAGTTGAGCGGCTTTTGCTGCAATTAAAAATGATGAAGATGATCTATTATGCTTTTGAAAGTCCTTAAATCTATAGCTAAGCTATAGCTCTACATGATTAAACTTTGTAATAAAGTAAAATCAACTAGACATTAAAATATACAGGAACAATTTTCCAAAACCACTGCTATTATTTTACTTATCAGAAAGACAAAGCTTGCTGTGAAAAGAAAACAGGATGTACAAATGTGTTTTTGATACCTGAGCCAGAATCTGTGAATGAGGTAACATCCCCTGCACTACTTCCAGCTTCACTCCGTGTGTCATAATCCTGTGTGTCCCCATGATCCACTGATTGCTCCACTGGTCTTGTCTCAATGTCGTCCATTAGCAAGTCCAGCTTGTCGTCAGACTCATCTGCTATGTTCTCAATACCTTCCTCCATAGGAACAGGATCTGCCAGTTAAATACCAAGAATTACGGGTATAACAATGTCATTTCAAAGAACTGAAATAAGTGATGGGTTATATCTTCATAATGTGGTAAATTATATCACTGAAGTTTCACGAAATTCTGATGGAAACTTTGAAGTTATTTGGATAAGATTTAACCAAGTAAATGCGGCATAACCGCACATGCACAAGTTCAGAGTGTGGTGACTACATCAGTGAAGTTTCACGAATTCAGATTAAAACTGGGAGCTGTCTGGACATGCTTCGCCATATCTATAACCAACCTCACTTATACTCTCTGAACTTTGTTATGGGGGAAATTTGATTTTTCGTTGAAAGCTTTTAATCTCTTTGTAACAAATTTCAGCCATCATCCATTCAACAGATGATCAATATGTCAATTTTGTACTGTGTATCTGTAGTGTTGCAGGCACAGTTCAAAGTTCATTCCCACTACCATGGAAGAAGTGATTTCACTAGGGCCCTTACCTCCTGTATAAGTGTCTGATCTTTCAGGATTCAGCCAGCTATTTGCCTGCAATCCCCCCCCCCCCCCCCCCCCCCCCCCCACACACACACAATCTACTGACAGGTAACTGATCACTCAGTCTCTGGGATACCAAATTACCCTCCTCATCCTACTACAATTTGGTATGCGTATTGTCGGACAGTACCTGAGATAGGTTCTTCAGCAATCTTCACTTTTTCTGGTTTCACCACAGCTTTACTCTTTGCCGGTCGCTTGACAGCTTTCTTCATCACTTTCACAGGAGAAGACTTCTCTTTTGATTCTGTTGTAACCAAATAACAGTAATGCAACACAATTTTATGGTTAATACCAATTTAGTTAAATATTCGTTGTATTCAGAAACATTAACAGAATCCATATAAAATGTTCACAATTTTTTTGGGGGGGAATAAAGCACTGACTTTGAGGTGTCCCAGGTTTTAAATGATATATATTTTTTTTATATAAGTGGTGTTTTTTCCAGAAAATTTTGACTTTTATTGCATTGCAATGTCTTTTTCTACTAAAAAAAATAGCATTGTGTTAAGGTTGTCCATTTTTCTCTACCTCAAAATAGAACAGATAAACAATTATTTTTCTGCTTGCAATACTCAATACTCAAATGTAAAATATATAAACCTGTTGCTGTGATCAGAATTTTTTCAAACTTAATCATATTCAAGAGGCCTAGAGGGAACTATATTGCGCACCTGGCTCTTTATGCCAAGCAATGGTATAAATGAATATGGCTTTGGGTCGAAGATCTCAAGTTTCAAAGTTATGGCCATGAGTGTCAATTCTTATACCATGATTGTGTTTGTTTCCCGATGCTCAGCAATTTTATACATGGGTATAGGCTGGGGATCTTGATAATGTCAAAGCTAGAAATTATTTTAGCCTGCCCATCGAACCCCCTGGGCGTCAGGAACTCAAACTGTACAATTTTTAATCCCCACCACCTAGGGATGCTTCAAACCAAATATCGTTGATATCCTTCTCTTAGTTTCTCAGAAGAAATTAATTAAAGCAATATGGCCAGCAGAAAAAGTAATTTGAAATTAATGACAGACGGACAGACAATGGAAGCAATGGCATGGCATAAGCTTACCTTGGTCCTTTAATTGATTTTTGATTTTGGGATATTTCATATATATGACATTGTGAAGAGTACTGTAAACAACGGCCCAGAGGACCTGTATCGGTCACCTGAATATTTAAGCAGTAATAGCAAAACCTTCTCATTAAATATTATATTGCATTACAAATATTTCCCTCGCAAACTTTGTTGGTTCCATCTGTTGAAACTACCAGCCAAATATTATAAGATTTTATGCTTTTTGGTTCTTCTTCAGAAGTTGTTTGACATATTTTTTCCCTGTGACCTTGTAATTAGGTCAATGCCATTTTCCTTCTCAAAATTTGTTAGCTCTATATATATCCCAAGAAGCTACCAGTCAAATCTTATGAATCCATTCTTTTGGGTTCTTCAGAACAAATCCTTTGAAATGTTATGACCTCTGTGACCTTAAAAGTAAGTTGAAGTCATTTTCATTTGCAATCTTTGGTGAGCTTTATCCAAGGAAGCCACCAGCCTAATATTATATATATTATGCCTTTCGATTATTCAGAAGTCATTTGATGTTTTTGACATATTTGACACATGTGACCTTGAAAGTAGGTCAAGGCCATTTTCGTTCTCAAACTTTGTCAGGCTCTATCTCAGGAAGCAATCAGCCAAATATGAAGGTTCTATACCTTTTAGTTCTTCAAGAGAAGTCATTTAAAGAGTTTGACATATTTGACCGCTGTAACCTTGAAAGTAGTTGTAAGTCATTTTCATTCTCAAACTTTGTCAGGCTCTATCCCAGGAAACCATCAGTCAAATATGAAGATTCTATACCTTTAAGTTCTTCAGAAGAGGTCGTTTGAAGTGTTTGACCCATGTGACCTTGAAGGTCGGTCAAGGTCATTTTCATTCTCAAATTTTGTTGAGCTCTATCCCAGGAAGCCACCAGCCAAATATGAAGATTCTATACCTTTCAGTTCTTCAGAAGCTTTTTAAAGGAAAAGTTGACGGACGACGACGGACGCCACACCATGACATAAGCTCACTTGCCCTTGAGGCAGGTGAGCTAAAAACTCCTTATGCGTGGGGTTAGATTTCAGCTCAAAGTATATAGACAAGAATATTGCTGCAATGATATTGTTGTCCAACCTTCATTATATTGTATGAACTATTTTACCTTTATTGGTCTCAGTGGACTTGATATCCTCTTTGCTTTTTGCACTGGCAGATTTCTGTGAAGTGGCTTTGCTTGTTGGCTTTGATTCCTTGTTTTCAATGACATCCAGGCTCTCTGTCATTTTTTGTTCAGAAGTCATTGATGCAACAGCATCTTCTTTTTTGACATTTACAACTTTTTGTGATGTCTCTTTCTTGACAGGACGGGCCGTTTTTGGCTTCTGCTTGACCACCTTTGCCTTTGCAGATGCTTGCTTTGGTTTGCTCTTAACAGGTTTCTTTACTACAACACAAAATGAACATTGAGTCATGTAATTAAATTCTTAAATGAAAGGTCTAGAGGGTCTGTATAAATCACCTGGATTTTTTAGCAATCATGCCAAAAGATATTTTCAATGTGGGATCACACAATGTTTCATGATATGGGCACAATGGAAAAATGTTTCATAAGAACTTGTTCACACCAGTGCAGTATAGCTATGGCCTAGTTCTGGGATATATAGGATCTCACATGAGTTTCCATTTCATATGAGAATTATGAAAAGAGTCTTCGAATTTTTCAATTTAGCGGGCCTCTGGCGAACTAAAATGGAAATTTTTTGACGAGTTTCATAAATTTCATATGAAATGAAAATGTGTGTAAGATCCTTTATATCACATAATCAAGATCTGTGGCATTTATACATGTAAAACAACAATTTTCATGCAATTTTGAAAAGTAAAAAGCCGCCAGCCATTTTGACTCTAGTGCGTACCGGCAAGTCTATGACGTCATGTAGTTGTCCTAGGCGTGACATCACAATTGAAACTGGGCTGATAGGTTATATTATATGGGTTAATTCGCAAAATAATATGACATGGGTATATTCACTTGATAACACAGTACATTATGTGATAAATATATATATTGTGGTTAATATATATTTTGGGATGACTGTAAATGAATTTTGTATTCATACATTTATCTTTTTCTGACTTTATTGAATTTTAAACATTCCAGTAACCTAAGAAAAGGATATTTCATTACTCTTTTGAAAAGACGAATCATACTGAAGACATAAAACCAGGAATGTACAGGACACAAGAAACGTTATAATAAGTACAAAGTTGAACCTTTAGTCCAATAAATTGCCAAAAACCTTACAAATATCAAAATGACTTTTGGGAAAGACCAAAAATAAAGCAAGTGAGCACTGAAACATCAGCATCCCGTTCAGCATGTTGCCTGCTTATTTCTGTGCTATGGCATGTTAAAGCTCACATGACTAGTTATATACGTTTTTACGCGGTAGGCATGTCAGCACTTTGCTTCAGTTATAAGTATTATCTCATCTCAAGAAGTGCCGACTGCCGACCTCGGATATATATTGTAATTAAAACTGTCAACTGCTGACCTCGTATATATATTTTAATCAATAGGTCTACCGTAGTCCTTGAATACATATACCTACTCTACTTGAAACTGCCTACCTTGGATTCATATTGTAATTAAAACTGTCAATTGCCGACCTCAGGATATATATTGCAAACAATACTGTACTCCTTGAATACCTACTTACTTGAAACTGCCGATTGCTGATCTTGGATACATACTGTAATTAAAACCGTCAACTGCCGACCTCAGATATATATTGTAATCAACACTGTAGTTTTCTAATAACTATTCTACTTGAAACTGCCGACCTCGGATACATACTGTAATTAAAACTGTCAACTACTGACCTCGGATAGATCTTATAGGTAATTAAATGTCACATTATCGGCACGGTCAGTCGTCTAAGGGAGATAACTCCCAAAATTCAATTCATTATCACGGATGAATACACTACAACTAATTAGTTTTAATCATTTACACTCTGGTACTATTTGTTCTGTTTACTCCAGTTGAGCCACATGACCCAGTGCATTCATTGATTTGAATAAAGTTGAAGATTTTTTTTCTGTGAGCTTTGAATTCATTACCAGGAGTTTTGTCCTGTTCTCCAATTTCAGCTGTAAGTTCATCATCTACATGTCCATCCAGTATATCATCCAAGACATTCACTTCAACAGCTTCTCCACCTGGAATGAAAATTGAAGTATGTTACTTAATCATGGTCAAAAATGAAATTACAGCATTCTACTGAATGTACTTTTGTTTCAGTTTGAAGAAGTGTCGAAAATGTCATTTTTGTCAGAGATTGTCTTGGAAAGTTGAAGGACATGAGTTCACAACCTCCTGTTAATTAACCGCTTTAGTGTGAAGTGCGAATAGAGTAATATTGAGGTCACATTTCCCAATGGATGGTTATGTTTACTATAACACTTGTGTTTGTGTGAGGCCTACTATCGGAAGAGAGAAGAACTTTCCAACGTGGCGGTCAATTCAGATTTTGATTGTGCTTGCTAAGTAAGCAACAACAGAAATAGTTCATTCTACAACCATATTTATGGATGTGGACCAATGTGCTGTCAATCAATTCTAAAATCGTCCTGGTTTGATTCACATCGGGTTTGCTACACTACAAGGCATTGGATCAATTTAATACCCAGTCGGGGCAGAGGAGGCGGGGTATCAATATTGTAACGAGTGCGCGTCCGGTGCCCATGTCTCACCGGCCGCCGTCCAAGAAGTATGGGGTTCTTGTTTCACCAATATAGTGTGCTTCCTGGATCCTGGATTATCACGGTCGAATATGTTATATCTCCTCTATGTCAGGTCCGAGAACAATGGTCAGAAATAGTCTAGCAGTCTAATTAGTAATTACCAATGTGAAAACTCTAAATATCAACCAAGAGCCCAATTGACAGGTACAAATATAATTTATTAAAGGAACAAGTTAAATAACAATGTATCTTTACATAGTACAGATCAGTATAATATTACAATACAAACAAGGCATCAACACATGTCCTTGCACCAGACAATAACAAAGGTAATTGACAAATTGTACACAACTATTTCCAAAGTATACACTAGTTGACTGTATTTCCTGTACAAATGTCCCACTAATCACCAGAGCCTAATATTCGAAGTCCTAAATTATAATCTGATATGCAGACCAGCAAAAATACAAGAAAGCTTCAACTATTAAGATAATTTGTAATAATATGACAATTCAGAGCTCTATAAATAGCCAAATACCGGGATTTCCCCTTGTATTCGATGACTGTGTCTATAAACAAGCCTAAACCCAAAGTATGAGAGATTCCTAAGTCTGACCTGTTCAGAGGCGACCGTCTGCCAGCGAAGACAGTGATGAACTGAAGAAAAAGGTCTGATCCGACCTATATTTATAACCTTCCAAATATTACTACTCAGGGGAGGTCTGGTGATTAGATGGGAGAGGTCCGGAGACACTTTCCCATAGGATTGCATGTAAAAGTAATAAAACCCTATCACACTCGGCCTCTCATATAATATCCGCTCAAACAATAAGTGCTTTACATTAAAATAATGATACAGAGTAGAAAAATACATGTTAAACTACTATTTTATGCCGTTAAGGTTAAGGATTAAAAATATACTAAGTTTAGGGAATTCCCTGTGGTAGTGACGTCAGACGCCGGTAAGAATTATCGAAACGCTTGAGAGGTCGCCGAGAGGCCTCTCCGACTGACTGAACATCTAAGACATCATTAAAAGACATAAACAGTGTCCAAAAAGGTTAGCATTCTCTTTTAAATATCGTAATTACTTAATGTTCATCAATCTGCTGCGGCTTACAAACCTGGGAAGTTAAAGAATCAATGATAGTAGTTTTGAGCATCTCGCATAGTCAGCTTCCAAAATGGCGGTCTTGAGAGGTGTTTGAGATGCTTACGAGAGATCAATTTAACACGAAATTAGCAGGGAAGTTATAAATCATTTCTACAATGTTCTGTAGTTGTAATTTGAATAATCAACCTTTAAAACTTATGTACAATCACATTTTGGACTATAAAATGAACAATGGTGTTATTTATGTAGTGAAAACCCGTCACACTGCAGGCGCACAGCGATATGTAAACACATCGGCTGCAGGGCCGAGACAATTAACAAGAAAATGCAGCAAAGCTGCTGGACACCAAACTTTTTTTTATGAAAACGACTTACTGACAGTCTATCAACCACGAGGGAACAGATCCTGTATACTTGAATCTATATATTTATAATTATATAAATTGTTAATGGCATTATTTTGTTGTTCAGAATATTCTGTTCACGCTCAATATCCTTTTATTTTGCACTTTTGTCACTTAATAATTGTCCCACAGCACGAAAATGTTAAGTTTCAACTGCACGTTTAGGCCTAACATTAAATGTCAACGATTTGGTAATAACGCCATCGTCTCAGAGAGAGAAGCCGGGACATAAAGATGATTTACATAAAAATATCTTTTATACCTTTTGTCAAAATTGCAGCGATTTTTGCAAATATTTCTTTTGACAATGTACATATTTGACTATTTTGGATAAAATATCAACCGTCTTCTAGGTTAAAGCGTCAATCGTAGCCCCCGCCCCTTTGAATAATAGTTGTTACTTCTCGAGACGAAGACTTATTTGCCACAACATTGGTTTTTTGGCTGTTATCACATTCGTTTTATATACAAATGAAATAAATAGATCATATTGAACGTGAAAACCATGAAATTTTCTATTTCTTACATTTCATCAGAAAAGCGCGGGAATGTGTAAAGTAGTTTTTGACGCCAAATTATAATGACGTCACGCTTAACAACAATACAGAGCGCCATTTATCTCGTAAGATTTTCAGGCAAAAATGATATTAATTGTGTAGATATGTAAAAACACTAATGTATACTGCAAAGGTTGACAACACAACCACTTATTCTGCCATCACTTCATCTAAACTTGAAACTGAAAAATCTACGCAGAGAATATAATGTTCAGATTGGACAATAATAAGAGTAACGTTTTTCACTTGTGAATATTAAATATTTCGTTTATCTTCACTGCATTAAACATCTGTGTTTATCAGATGGGGAATTCATGATATTTCACTAGAAAACTGTACTAAATACCGATACCGTAAGGTTTACCTTGAAACTAACTTTTGTAGACAGTATGTGGCCTCAATTTCCCAGAAGGCTTTCACGCATGGGGAAGCACCGGAAGTGGACAAAGTGTTTACAGATCAAACCCCGACGGCGCTTTGCGCCGCTTGGGGGTTTAAAAAAAATATTAAATCCTTAATTGCAGTAGACTATATATATCTTGTTATATTATCATTAACCTTCCTTTTACCAGGTCCAGTACACTCTGCCGATTGAGCTATATGGCTGTAAAGACCTATAATAGCTCTATTGACCTATCTGAAATAGGTCTTTTGAGCTGTTTTCAAGTGATTTTCTTTTTTAAGGAAAACGGAACAAAGTCGCATTTAAAAGAAGATTGTATCATTAGGTTGATAACAAAAGACATTAAATACGAGTATTCTTTTTAAAAAAAAAATGATGTACAGAAATCAGAAATTTTACATTTATGAAAAATGAAAATAAACATCTAACTGTATGCTTTTTGTAGTCAACATTACCATTAACCTTATTGTTTTATGCGACTTTGCTTTAATTTAATGAAATTTGAAATCTGAGAAAATATAGCTCAATACAGCTATAATTTATAGGTGTATATAGCTATATAGGTCTTTATAGCTATATAGCTCAATCGGCAGAGTGTACTGGACCTGTTTACAACTTGCGTGTATTTTAATTAGCTCACCTATATTTTATTCCATGTAGGATTATGTTTATTTTGCATGTTGTTTTTGTTAGTTTAAAGTTATACCTTTGTTTGACGCAGAAATAGCTCTACCGGGCAAATGTTTGTATTTCTATGGTATGCGACGTCAAATAAATATTCTTGTATCTTGTAATACCGGAAGGGATGAGCTCGCTCTCAAGAAAACACTGCACAAAAATATGACGATACGATTTGCCATACTTGAGCAAACACTCCTACACCATTTACTCAGTTATTTAAGAAATGCATATAAGTTGTTGTATCTTTCATACAGGAACTTAGGGGGAAATCCTGGAATTTTGAGAGCAGTGGGCCATTTCAGCAATTTTTAATCAATATCAAAATTAAGAGGGGCCATTCAATGTAATATTGAAAGAAAAACTTGGAGGGGTCAATTTCAGTTTTGAGGGGTCAGTTGCCCAATGGCCCCCTCCAGTATTATCTCTGGGAATCAATAAAACGATTTTCAACCGGCACCATTTCCAACAGACACGCGGATCATGTTTCTAGTATCTTCATGATCACCTTCTTACATAACAAAATGTGTACAAACCTTTCGCGTCTCCCATATCGGCGCTCATTGCGCTCTTTCTCTAACTCGAAAGCTTATTAATGCAGTTGATGGTAGCATGTAATTTAGTTCTGCAGTTTCTAAAGATGTGAAAACTGTAAAATATAACCAAAGATATAAACAAAGAGTTGGTAGATTTTCAATATGGCTGCGTAAACTATCCAACTCTCGCGAGTTCTCGCGATATGTTCCATTCTGTTTTTAACAAAAACATGAATAAATCCAGAGGGCATACGAAGTATTTCGTGAAGTTTTCTACACATTTTCTGAAGATAATAAAAAGGCCTAGTGTGAAGAAGACCTAACCTAAATTGAAGAGCTAGGGTGATACACATGAGGAAGGTAGGATGAAATTGATGGTCTGCTGTGAGCCCCGGATTCAGGATTTCTTGAAAGGGGGGAGGGGTCACTATTTGAGCAACTGTGTGCAGCAGTCGAGAAATCAAACGAAACGACAAGGTTGGTGCACCACTGTAGGAGTGTAGAAAGCTCAAAATATAGATTCTAAGTACACCAAAGACCATGCTTATAAAACACTGGCGTTCCAAACTAGAACCCAGTGCCTCAGTTTGGGACCCTCAGAACATCTGTCAAATTAACCTCTCACAACTGCAAATCATGTGCACCCATGTTTTTAATATTTTGTAACAGGAAAGAGAGTAGTGCATGTTCTTCTACCGGGGATGTCTGGAGTCCCCCAGGGCTCGGTCATCGGCCAAACATTATTTCTGTTCTACATCAATGACATGTCGGAGGGCCTAGATGCATGTGCTTCTACCCACAGGGGCATGGATCGCTTGACTTGTAATATTAAAAAATAGAGGTCTCCTATACTATTTATTAGTATAGGAGACCCCTATTTTTTAATATTACAAGTAAAGCGATCCATGCCCCTGCGCTTCTACCGGGGATCAAACCCGCAACCCCAGACTTCTTGGACCACTTGTTGAATTTGACGGGGTGCAGTCGTTTCGGTACCCGGTAGTTTCGGTACTTCAAAAAGAAGATGTTTCGGTACTTTTTGTAAGTCGTTTCGGTACTTGTATTTAAGTTGTTTCGGTACTTCAACAATTTTGATTGTTGTTGCGGTAATTCGTTTATTAGTTAATAAATATTTTTCATTTGTTGTTTATTGTTTAAACAATCACGCAGATCAGTCAATCTTTGTTTTCGTACTTCAAACGTGATCCTGCAACAATTATGCGATGGTTGTTTATTTAACGTTTGCTTTTTTAACTGAGCAGCTGAGTAGATCGGAGTAGCTCCGAGTAGCTCTTTAGGAGAAACTCAACGGACTTCGGCTATAATAGTAGCTATTGAATGACGATGTGAATTATGTTGTTAACTGTTTTTAAATGTATTTTTGTTTTTGTTTACTGAGTATAAATATATGCTATCCCTGTATGGAAATAAATTATTCATCAATGTAATAATATTAATCTTGTTTTATTTTTTGTGTTCATGATTGAAACGAACGCCGCGTATCGATCGAAATGAAACAAACTGATGAGAGAAAATAGAGGTACATGTAAGGGTACTTCAGATACATCATGAAGCGTCATGTGTATATTGCAATCTGTCTTTTCCAAATCATATAATACTGAATAGCAGCTCTAAATATAAAACATTAAATAACAGTACAAACTCATTTTGCGGTTCCCTCACCTTTTTTTTTTGTCACTGACATATTAGTAATTCCTGTAGGAATTGTTATCTAAATCAGATATTTATAACGATAGAAACTCTATCGTTATAAATCTCTGATTTAGATAGAGTTCCTATAGGAATTAACATATTGGATATCAAGTTTGTGCTTATATCAAATATACATGGACTGTATCTAAACAAGCAATGTTTTCCTTAAGTACCGAAACGACTTTCAGAAGTACCGAAACGACCGGGTACCTAAACGACCTGAATTCAAATTTGACAGTCCACCCCAAAGAGGAAATGTCCCCATCTAAAAAATAATCCAACTGGAACAGCATGATATCACAATTGTCAGTCATATTAATTAAATTATATACAAACCAGCCCTGACCAGGATGTAAATACTACGTGGGAAATATTTAGATCTGGTCTGACTAGATTTCATTCAAAACCATATTCCTCACAAAAACATAAAATCCAAACCTAGTCCACCATGGGTATGACCCCTAATATCAGAGATTTGATGCACAAAAGAGATAGAATTTACAGAAAATGTAAGAAATCTGGAGATGCAAATATGAAATCCAGATGTAGGGATCGAGCTGAAACATCTTGTACAAATGTTATTGCGTCAGGCATTTTGGCAGTACGTTGAAGGTATTATCTCCCCTCCAGAGATTGAGTCAGATTATGCATAGGACCATGAAGAAATTCTGGTCTTACATTAAACACAAAAAACAGACTTTGACAGCATCTCTTCACTAAAACAAAATGGAAAACTCGTCCATGACCCTGTTAACAAGACCCAATGGGTTTCAGTATCTCTACATCAAAGAATCTTACTGCTACTCAATTTAAACAAAGATGAAACATCTAGGCAATATCACAGTATCGAGTTATGCCCGATTTTACCATTACAGTAGAGGGTATTAGCAAAATATTTAAAAATCTCAATCCAAATAAAACTGCTGGTCCTGACATAATATCATACCTAAAATCTTGAAGGAACTGGCTAATAATATCCCACCAATTCTTACTGTAATCTTTCAACAGTCACTTACATCAGGGAAAGTACCTGAACTGACAGGAAATTCTTATTTGTGCACCCTTCAGTGTGAGATTGTTATATTGTGTGTCACTATTGTTGGCCCTTCAGTGTGAGATTGTTATATTGTGTGTCACTATTGTTGGCCCTTCAGTGTGAGATTGTTATATTGTGTGTCACTATTGTTGGCCCTTCAGTGTGAGATTGTTATATTGTGTGTCACTATTGTTGGCCCTTCAGTGTGAGATTGTTATATTGTGTGTCACTATTGTTGGCCCTTCAGTGTGAGATTGTTATATTGTGTGTCACTATTGTTGGCCCTTCAGTGTGAGATTGTTATATTGTGTGTCACTATTGTTGGCCCTTCAGTGTGAGATTGTTATATTGTGTGTCACTATTGTTGGCCCTTCAGTGTGAGATTGTTATATTGTGTGTCACTATTGTTGGCCCTTCAGTGTGAGATTGTTATATTGTGTGTCACTATTGTTGGCCCTTCAGTGTGAGATTGTTATATTGTGTGTCACTATTGTTGGCCCTTCAGTGTGAGCTTGTTATATTGTGTGTTACTATTGTTGGCCCTTCAGTGTGAGATTGTTATATTGTGTGTCACTATTGTTGGCCCTTCAGTGTGAGATTGTTATATTGTGTGTCACCATTGTTGGCCCTTCAGTGTGAGCTTGTTATATTGTGTGTTACTATTGTTGGCCCTTCAGTGTGAGATTGTTATATTTTGTGTTACTTTCTGTTTTCCAGTACCTGTAGTGAGTGACTGGGCCATGAGAAGTGTCACTCAATGAGATGGAGATGTTACATGAAGAGCTTGAAGTTCTCCAGTCTGTTTACTGTCTACCTGGAGAGTGTGAAGTGGATAACAATGGTCAGTTCTCGTCCACACAGAGGTTTTCGAAGGTCAAAGGTCAAGGTCACTGTTACTTTAAATAGAAAATCTGTTTTCGTGCGATAACTTGAGTTTCCTTTGGCCTATCAAACTCAAACTTCATGCAGTGCTTCCTTACCAAAAGTGCTTGCTTGGGATTACTTTTCAGGTCCAAAGGTCAAAGGTCAAGGTCACTTACTATAAATAGAAACTTCACTAAATTTGTATACTGGACAGCTTTGATCTACCACTTAACCCACCGTGTATACCTCTGAAATGCCGTCTTTCTCCAAATGTTATTGACAACACTAGCTGTTTAACATCATAGTCCACAAGTTTATTCATTTATTTATGGGAAACCATCCGACAAATCATACAAATTAAACTTGGAATTGAGACAATGAGTATCCATAGCAAGTTCCTTAAAATTCAGAGTATTCTTCCCAGAATAACAGATTATATAACAAAATGATGCCATCCAAAAACATAATCTATGATTATTGCTTACTTTTAACATTATTTCTTGAAATGAAAAGTGTATCTATTTCTTCGTAATCTCCCAGCTTCCTGCGCAGGTGACACATCCACTTCCGTGGAATTCTTGTTTGAGGTGACAAGTGGAAAGTCAGTAGCTTTCTTGAATGAATGGCTGTCAGACAGTTCAAATAAATTAATGAACTTGAATGAGTTACAAGGTCACAGGGGTCAATTGTGGTAAAACATTTAAAATTCTTCTGAATAATAACCAAGAGGCCTAATGTGATGATTATGTGGCCAGTACTGGTAGTATGCCAGGATGAAGGGCTGTCAAATTAAATGAAAGGGTTCACATTGATCAAAATTTGAGAAAATCTTTCAACTTCTCATAAATAACCAAGACACCTAGGTTGATGATATTTGGCCAGTAGAAGGCTTGGATGAAAGGCTATCAAGTTTGTTCAAATGAATGACTGATCCACCTTTATGGTCATATGGGTGAAATTTGCTAAAACTTTTATTTTACCTCTTACTCTAAGTTAAAAAAAGAGGCTTGTTATAAGGTAATGATATTATAGGTTTAAGTTGTAAAGTGATTATTAGGATTTGAATTTAATGAACTGGACCAACCAACTTTGATTAAACTCACAGACATAAAATGAATGACTGATAAACAATACAGGCCCATTGGTCCTCTTGTACTTAAATAGGGATGGAAGCAAAAATAGATGTGCCCATTTTTATATAAGCAAGTTCCTTTAATTAAATTACTTTAAAATGTTTTATTTAAAAATTGTGTTCAAAATGTCGAAATATTATTGATAATATACTTAATTTGTCAGAGTGGAGACCAAAGTGGCATAACATCTTGGGTGTGAACATTTTTTTTACAGATGGATTTCACAAATTGACCTTGAAGCTTAGGCCTAGCCAAGGTGAAAGTGAAGAGAGGGTCACAGCTCCAGAGATGTCTGTAACATTTTACCTAAGTTCTGAATATCCTAATGTTGTACCCCAGATTTCCATTGTGAGTGCATACCTGCGTCGAGACCAGCTGAGTAAACTTCGTCAGGAAGTCTCTCTATTGGCTCAGTCTCTACAAGGACAGGCCATGCTAGCTGATCTCATATCTTTTGCACAAGAATATATGGACAAAACTCACAGTGAATTTACTGACCAATCAGGTGCCATGTTACATGGGACCTTTAACATTGAAAGCCAATCAGAAATATGGACAGCTCTCTTGCAGCTCAATCATATGCGAGCAAGAAATAAGTACGTTAAAACAATTCAGAATTGGAGCACTGAGCTTGGACTGGAAGGGAAATTACTTTTCCAAGGCAAATTGATATTAATCCTATTGCAAGGTCCACAATCAAAAATCAAGGTAAGCATGCTTGTGACAACAAAGTTTGGATTGTTTTGGACTTTTATTGAAATTAATACTGCAGTATTCTTTGCGCTTTCAAAAACCTTCAAAGACACTTATAAAATCTGAGTTTGTTTAGTGACTTTTATGGCCCATGGGCCTCTTGCACACACTAGGGCTAAAGGGTAAACTGATCTTATACGGTGGCCATGTTTCAAATTATCATGCTTCAATAGTAGTAATTAAATTCAGAAAAGACATATTCAGCCAAAAGTAAACTTTGATTATATCTGTTAAAAAATCCTCAAATCTTGTAATTGAACCTGGTGAAAACACAGCTTGCTGTTTTGTCTTTCTTCCTAAAAGTGCAAAATATTCTCAAGGTACTTAAATTGTGTTGAAGAAGTATTATCTCCTGTTTCGTTTAAAGGTTAAGAATACCAGCAAGTTAAACTATATATAAACCATTGCCACTGATGTGAATATTTAAAAAAAATCTTTTTAAGAGATGCTGTCCATAAAAATCGTATTTTGTCGTGCATTTTTACAGAATTAGAGTTGTTGAAAATTTAATTGTTAGAAAGTAAAACGGAAAGAAAGAAAACAAAAAAACTGCAGTGGTGGAACTCAAAATCTTAACATTAAAAAACACTTAACCAGTGTTACCATCTAGGAATAATTCAAAATTTCATAGGGGAAATTACTGTAAGCCAGAAAAACTTCTGTATAGAAGGGTGAATGCTCAAGTCCAAAAACTAGGAGTGAAATTTAAGTGAAACTCATCTTTGTTGTAACTTGCTTTAATTGATGCAGTGGTATCATATACATTAAATAAACAGATACATTTATCCAGCAGTATCAGTTTCAGTTACCAAGAAAAACAGTTTTGAAAAAAGACTGGAAAAAACACTTAAATTTTATTTAACACTTTTCTATCCCTGGCAGGACTACATTGTGCGACAGAAAAGTGTGTGTGTGGATGTGGACTCGCGGGGACGAAGCTGCAAGGAGAAAATGATGAGTGTTCTATGTGAACAAAGGAGTAATTCAACCAGCAAAAGGTATTGTTTCACTGTACAACAGGGTTTACAGTCTACCACTAGTATAGTGGTGTCCACACATCAGAAATGACAGTCTACCACTAGTATAGTGGTGTCCTCACATCAGAAATGACAGTCTACCACTAGTATAGTGGTGTCCTCACATCAGAAATGACAGTCTACCACTAGTATAGTGGTGTCCACACATCAGAAATGACAGTCTACCACTAGTATAGTGGTGTCCTCACATCAGAAATGACAGTCTACCACTAGTATAGTGGTGTCCACACATCAGAAATGACAGTCTACCACTAGTATAGTGGTGTCCTCACATCAGAAATGACAGTCTACCACTAGTATAGTGGTGTCCACACATCAGAAATGACAGTCTACCACTAGTATAGTGGTGTCCTCACATCAGAAATGACAGTCTACCACTAGTATAGTGGTGTCCACACATCAGAAATGACAGTCTACCACTAGTATAGTGGTGTCCTCACATCAGAAATGACAGTCTACCACTAGTATAGTGGTGTCCACACATCAGAAATGACAGTCTACCACTAGTATAGTGGTGTCCTCACATCAGAAATGACAGTCTACCACTAGTATAGTGGTGTCCACACATCAGAAATGACAGTCTACCACTAGTATAGTGGTGTCCTCACATCAGAAATGACAGTCTACCACTAGTATAGTGGTGTCCACACATCAGAAATGACAGTCTACCACTAGTATAGTGGTGTCCTCACATCAGAAATGACAGTCTACCACTAGTATAGTGGTGTCCTCACATCAGAAATGACAGTCTACCACTAGTATAGTGGTGTCCTCACATCAGAAATGACAGTCTACCACTAGTATAGTGGTGTCCTCACATCAGAAATGACAGTCTACCACTAGTATAGTGGTGTCCTCACATCAGAAATGACAGTCTACCACTAGTATAGTGGTGTCCTCACATCAGAAATGACAGTCTACCACTAGTATAGTGGTGTCCTCACATCAGAAATGACAGTCTACCACTAGTATAGTGGTGTCCTCACATCAGAAATGACAGTCTACCACTAGTATAGTGGTGTCCTCACATCAGAAATGACAGTCTACCACTAGTATAGTGGTGTCCTCACATCAGAAATGACAGTCTACCACTAGTATAGTGGTGTCCTCACATCAGAAATGACAGTCTACCACTAGTATAGTGGTGTCCTCACATCAGAAATGACAGTCTACCACTAGTATAGTGGTGTCCTCACATCAGAAATGACAGTCTACCACTAGTATAGTGGTGTCCTCACATCAGAAATGACAGTCTACCACTAGTATAGTGGTGTCCTCACATCAGAAATGACAGTCTACCACTAGTATAGTGGTGTCCTCACATCAGAAATGACAGTCTACCACTAGTATAGTGGTGTCCTCACATCAGAAATGACAGTCTACCACTAGTATAGTGGTGTCCTCACATCAGAAATGACAGTCTACCACTAGTATAGTGGTGTCCTCACATCAGAAATGACAGTCTACCACTAGTATAGTGGTGTCCTCACATCAGAAATGACAGTCTACCACTAGTATAGTGGTTTCCACACATTGACGTTTGACTTTTGTCATTTAAAAACTACAGTTTGATTTTTAGCCCACCATCATCTGATGGAGGGCTATTCAAATCACCCTGCGTCCGTGGTCTGTCCGTCCATGGTACGTCATTAAACAATTCTTGTTATCGATATTTCTCAAGAAGTACCAACTTTTTAGACTGATCGGATAAACAACATGGCCGACAGGCAGCCATCTTGGATTTTGATAGTGAAAGTTTGTTATCGCTATTTCTCTGGAAGTACCAGAGGCATCTTTCTCAAATTTTATATGTAGGTTTCCCTCGTTCCCTTGTTGTTGCAGCAGTGCCTGAAATGGACGGTCACCTGCTCGCCAATGGCGGTTAAAGTCTTGCTCGAGTGACCAAAATTTGTCAAATGTAAGGTAGTCACTGGCCCAACAAAAATAGTTTGGGGGACTGTCGAAAAATTAATGAATAAAAGAAATTATAGTCCCTTCCCCATTATCGGGGGGGGGGGGGGCAGTACATTTTTCTGTTGTCAATCGAACTGTCCGTGATTTAGAAAATGTGATAAAAAAAAATCAGAATTTCTATATACATTGTAAATACTGCCAGGGTGTCTTTGAGGTGCAAGTTTTGTATATTTCTTTTTGGGAAGTCCTTAATGGAGTGGATCATGTCAGGTCTTAACTAGGGTTGAAGAATTAAAAATATAATGTTTTATTCTGTTTAACATATTACAAACATTGTCATGTTATATGTAATTTAAATGTGATGAAGCATTGTGCTAAATGCTGTGGAAATATTTCTTCCCAAAATTATTTGGGCCACCAATATGTCATTTGGGCCAGTGCTTCAAATTTTTTACTCAGTCAATTATTATTTTTTGGGCCAGCCAATGCAGGTTCCCCTCTATCCTTTATTGTTCATGCTTACTTTTGAAACTGATCAGTTAAACAAAATGGTCTACTGACAGCCATCTAGGATTTTTGACATTGAAGGTTTTTTAGTACTATTTCTCAGGAATAACTTGAGGGATCTTCTCAAATTTGATATGTAGGTTCCCCTTGACCCCTCGTTGTGCATGTTATATTTTGAGACTGATCATAAAAACAAAATGACTAGAGGAAGAACTAAACAGATCTTTCTCATATTGCAATGATTAATTCTATTTCTTTCACATTAAGTACTGTACTAGTAAATATGTGAAATGACAAACTCTCTTTGAAGGGTGGCTTTCATACACATCAGTATTAAGTTTAGATCAATAGTTATCTCAAGGTGCATTTACTGTTTACATGACTCGATCAAACAGATTAGAGGAAAGAAGAGAAAAGATCGAATTGACAAAGAACTAATGAAGATGGTACAATGGTGGGCGCCAAGATCCCTCTGGGATCTCTTGTTGTTATTACAAAGTAATCTTGACTGTTATTATATAAACTACAACTGACCTTTTTTATTTCAAAATGAGCTTAACTACTATACTGCAGACCTCTGTTATTGTATATATATCTCATATTTATTTTGTCAAATGAATATGGGGACACAACGTTTTTGACGTTAAATCTTTCAAAAGAGTGAAAATAAATGTTTTGAATATTTACAGGTTTACTGAATTTGAGGTAAAGGACTGTGAAACCCCCAGAGAACTACAAAATGTGTTTACAGAGACAGGCCACGAGGATCTGTTCCACAACTTCGTACAAGGCTTGCAGGGATTTCACCAATAATCATATGGTGGGCCAGAATGAACTTTAACTTTATGATGAACATGTTTTTATTTAAACTGCCTGGATTAAAACTTCATTAATTCACCAGTAAACCTGTAAAGGGATTGTCTGGAACCTACCCATATGTTTACATGAACAGGGCCTCCCTGGAATCTACCAAAATGTATACATGTACAGGGCCTGCCGGGAACCTATCCATATGTATACACATACATGACATGTCTGGAATATACCAAAATGTATACATGTACAGGGCTTTTTTGGAACCTACCCATATGTATTCACATGCAAGACATGTCTGTAATATACCCATATGTATACATGTCTAGGGCCTGTTTAGGACTTACCCGTGTGTAGACATGTAGAGGGCCTGTCACGAACCAATACAGGACCTATCTGGAACTTGCCAATATGTAAAGAACCTGTCGGGAACCTATTAGCATGTAGGCTTTGTGGGGAATCCATCAATGATTTCAACGGGACAGATTAAACTAGATGAGCAACAACATTTATGTGAAGAGCACTATATAAATAAGTTGAATTTCAATGGATATATAGAATGACGATACAGTGGTATATTATCATTGTATATTTCTAGATATGTTGTTGGTGACTGGATTGTATTTTGGTGTCCCAATAAGTCTGTGTCTGGATACGTTTGTTTCTGAAACAAATTTTCTTCTGAATTAGATTAAAGAAACTTAATTTTTACGACAAACATTGATACAGATACAGAAAATTGAGCTAGAGTTACATGAATAAAAATATTCTTGGAAGTAAATTAACTTAAGACTTAAAAAGTGATTAATGCTAATCTTCTGTATTGATTTATCAGACAGGTTCTATTGTAAATGCCATTAAACTCTGTAACCATGTATTATAAGGATGGTATTATTGCTGCGTGTCACATTGCCTTAGCCCATTGTCAAATTTTGGTATTTTTTAACAACTTTCTGCTGCTTCTTCCCTAAATCTTCAACTTTAAGAGTCAAATAAATTCACATACCTGCATTCAACCGCAGTTATATTAAAAAAAACCATAGTAACAAGAGGTTAAATGACGCAGAATACTTTTCCTGGTATTCAATACTGTGACCTTCAAAGTATATAAAACTCAAATTCATTTACTTATACTTGATGGCCTTTTACTTTCATAGATTTGACTCTACTGGTCTTGAAAGTGTGTCACTGCTATTCATTTGAACAAACTGGAATACTCAACTTCAGTATGTAAAGGCCAAAATATCATGACCATAGGGTTAAAATCTGCTAACTTTCAATAAAGTTCTGAATAACCAAGAGGCCTAGTAACATTTGGCCTGTAGCTTGCAAGTATAACATATTATCAAGTTTATTTAAATTAGTAACCATGACCAATTAAGAACAGCTCTTGAGTGAAATCATTAAAGAATTTCACACATGCATAAGGTGTTGTGTGAAAGTTAAGGAATAACAAGGATTATTTTTTGGGTTATAGTGCAAAGCGGTTATGCACAAAAGTGCACACAGTTTTTAGCTCACCTGCCCGAAAGCGCAAGTGAGCTTATGCCATGGTCCGTCGTCCGTCCGTCGCCCATCTGTCCGGCATCAACTTTTAACTTTAAACGACTCTTTCTGAATAAACAAGAGGCCGAGGGTGATGATATTTGGCCAGTAACATGCTGGGATGAAGGGCTTTCAAGTTTATTCAAATGAATTACCTTGACTTATATTCAAGGTCACAGGGGTCAAATATGTTTAAAACCTTTAAAACAATCTCTACTGAATAACCAAGAGGCCTAGGTTGATGATATTTGGCCAGTAACAGGCTGGGATAAAGGGCAACCAAGTTTGTTCAAATGAATGACCTTCATCCATTTTCAAGGTCACAGGGGTCAAATATGTTAAAATCTTTTATCGACTTCTGATGAATACCCAAGAGGCATAGGGTGATGTTATTTGGCCAGTTACATGCTGGGATTAAGGGCTGCCAAGTTTGTTCAAATGAATGACCTTCACCCATTTGAAAGGTCACAGGGGTCAAATATGTTGAAATCTTTAAATAACTTCTGAATAATGAAAAGGTCCAGGGTAATGATATTTGGCCAGAATCATGCTGGTATGAAAGACTATAAAGTCTGTTCAACTTAATGTCCTTGTTTGACTTTCAAGGTCACATGTGTCACATGTTTTAATCTTTTAATAGATTCTTTTGAATCAAACACTGGTATTTTGCCTGTAGCTGTATTTTAGTCCACTTTTAAGAAAACAAGTGTAAGATTAATACCAGGTGAGCGATTTGGGCCCATTGGGCCTCTTGTTTCAGTATACATGTATATGGTATAATCCCAACAATCCTTCTGGTAATCCCTTGTAATTTAAATTCAGACAGCATTTTTTAATTTAAAGTAATATTGATTCATTTCTGATAAAAACAAAATAATTTTGCCCAAAACATAACATTGCACAGTAATTTCATCCCAAGGTTATTCAACCAATCAGACGTTATATTGATTTATAGCCTATAGTATTAGCTTGCTTGCTATCAAGTTTGTTGAAATAAATTTTGCCATGACACCTTTGATGGTCACATACGTGAGATGTTTCAAACACTGATGAATTAGACAGAAGTTTAGGAGGCCAATTAGGCCTCTCCTGGATGCATGTCGCTGACCTATTGGACAAAAATAATGATTTTACCAAGGTGTCAGTCCTAATGTGACAAAACAACTGCCATTGCTTTGAAGAATTGTCTGAGTACATGTGCTTGTTTTTGTTTGAAATTTTGAAGGAAGCAAATATAGCTATCCTTTATTACAATTATGGGCTGTTCTATAAAAATATCACCACATGCTATGTGATTGATTTACAATATTTTCATTGATTGCATTGTGTATGTGTTAAAAGTACCAGGTTCACCTATTTGTGCAGTAATATCAGGACTTTGGCCTGCTGATTGACAATCAAATTATTATACACAGAACTCAATATTATCTATGTTTGTATGATGGTGTAAGAGATAACAAATCAATGCTAATAATGATTAGCATTGATTTGTTTCCTCTTACACCATCATACAAACTAATGAGCCTGATCACTCACTAATCACTTACATCTATCACACGATCTACATCAAAGCTGTTATATCTCTAGCACAAATTTCTTTCACAACTGTTTTTCACAACTGTAACATCTTCTACTGACTCTACACAGCGGTTACATCTCCACACATTTTTTTTTACACAACTGTGACATCTCTCACAAACTCTACACCGCGGTTACCTCTCCACACAAAAACCTTACACAACTGTGACATCTCTCACAAACACTACACAGCGGTTACCTCTCCACACAAAAATCCTATACAACTGTGACATCTCTCACAAAATCTACACAGCGGTAACCTCTCCACACATAAACCTTACACAACTGTGACATCTCTCACAAACACTACACAGCGTTTACCTCTCCACACAAAAACCTTACACAACTGTGACATTTCTCACAAACTCTACACAGCATTTACCTCTCCACACAAAAACCTTAAACAAATATGACATCTTTACCAAACACAGTATAACAGTTACATCTCCACACTAAAGCGCTTTAGACTGGCTTATGTTAGCTGGATGGGGCGCTATATCAAATGCTGTATATTATTATTATTATTATAAAAATCTTACAAAATGTTGACATCTATATCTTGTACAAACATGACGTCTTTCACCTTTACATTGGTTACGTCACTACAAAAAAATAAAACCTTACACAACTTTACTGTGACATCTCTCACAAACACTACACAGCGTTTACCTCTCCACACAAAACCCTTACACAACTGTGACATCTCTCACAAACTCTACACAGCGTTTATCTCTCCACACAAAAACCTTACACAACTGTGACATCTCTCACAAACACTACACAGCATTTACCTCTCAACACAAAAACCTTACACAACTGTGACATCTCTCACAAACTCTACACAGCGGTAACCTAGCTCTCAACACAAAAACCTTAAACAACTGTGACATCTCTCACAAACTCTACACAGCGTTTATCTCTCCACACAAAAACCTTACACAACTGTGACATCTCTCACAAACTCTACACAGCGGTAACCTAGCTCTCAACACAAAAACCTTACACAGCTGTGACATCTCTCACAAACACTACACAGCGTTTACCTCTCAACACAATAACCTTACACAACTGTGACATCTCTCACAAACTCTACACAGCGGTAACCTAGCTCTCAACACAAAAACCTTACACAACTGTGACATCTCTCAAAAACACTACACAGCGTTTATCTCTCCACACAAAAACCTTACACAACTGTGACACCTCTCACAAACACTACACAGCAGTTACCTCTACACACAAAAACCTTACACAACTGTGACATCTCTCAAAAACACTACACAGCGTTTACCTCTCAACACAATAACCTTACACAACTGTGACATCTCCCACAAACTCTACACAGCGGTAACCTAGCTCTCCACACAAAAACCTTACACAACTGTGACACCTCTCACAAACACTACACAGCAGTTACCTCACCACACAAAAACCTTACACAACTGTGACATCTCTCAAAAACACTACACAGCGTTTACCTCTCAACACAATAACCTTACACAACTGTGACATCTCTCACAAACCCTACCCAGCGTATATCTCTCCACACAAAAACCTTACACAACTGTGACATCTCTCAAAAACACTACACAGCGTTTACCTCTCAACACAATAACCTTACACAACTGTGACATCTCTCACAAACACTACACAGCGTATATCTCTCCACACAAAAACCTTACACAACTGTGACACCTCTCACAAACACTACACAGCAGTTACCTCTCCACACAAAAACCTTACACAACTGTGACATCTCTCACAAACATTACACAGCGGTAACATCTCTACACAAAAACCTTAACAAATGTGATATCTTTCTCAAACTCAACACAGCGGTTATGTCTCTACACAAACATTTAAAAATCGGCATAGCATGTTTCAGCTTTATTAGAGTTGATCTTAAAAAATCTACGTATTTGTGACTGCTTTTTTAGATTTTAATAGAAGAATAAAGATTTTAATGCTGCTGTATAATAGAACAAAGAATTGTTTTTCCAGTTTGATGTGAAATTAATGAACTATATAAAACATGTACTCTATGTTTCTGGAAAAGAAACTTGATAAAGGTAAAACTGTTGTTAAGGAGGCTCCACCCTTTCGCAATTAGCCATCAGAATTCAATGAAAGTTTCACATGATGGTTATGTCACTATGTAGAGATGATTTTATGAAAATCTAAGCATTCTGATAAACTGGGGATTTTTTGGTAAAAAATGCCCAAAATTTGATTTTTGGTCAAATTCAACACTTTTACATTTTTGGAGCGTGTGGCATTGTTCAAAACTATTACAACAATAAAATAATGAAAAGAAACATTGCTAATCAACCCTACAAATATTTTATTTATCATAAAATATCTACAACATGTTACAAAAAGC